GTCTGAGATCTTTTGCTGACTTGCCCCTTTCCTCATGGGGACCAGCATGACTCATGTCCCCAGCAGTCACCTGCACAGAGGAACCTGTGAATTCTTGAATCATGGAATGATCTGGGTGAGAAGGGACCTTAAAGTTCATCCCATTCCAGCTCTGCCATGGGCAGGGACACCTTCCACTATCCCAGGTTGCTCCAAGCCCCATTCAACCTGGCCTTGGACTCTTGCAGGCATGGGACAGCCCCAGCTTCTGTGGGCATCCTGGGCCAGGGCCTGCCCACCCTCACAGGGAGGAATTCCTTCCGAGTATCTCACCTATCCCTGCCCTCCAGCAGTGATAAACCATTGTTCCTAGTCTGTTTCTCCAGGCCCTTATCCCAAGTCCCTCTCCACTCTCCTGGAGCCTCTTTAGGCACTGGAAGGGGCTCTAATGTCTCCTTGAAGCCTTCTTTTCTCCATGCTGGACACCCCCATCTCTCCCAGTCTGTCTCCAGATAAGAGGGCCCACAGCCCTCAGAGCATCTCTTGGCCTCCTCTGGACTCACTCCAGAAGCTTCATGCTCTTCTGATCTTGGGGGTCTTCTGACTTCCCAGCCAAGCCCTCCTTGAACCTCAATGGGGTACTCCTCCCTGGAGCCAGCATGGAACTGCTCATGCTCCCAAGACTCCATCCTCACATCTTTTTCTTTGCCTGAGCCAAGCACACCCTACCATGGTGAGACCATGAGGGACTCTTCCCAGGACATACCTCTGAAAGTAACTGCAAGCTGGGGAAAGCTGGCCCCTTACAAAGATTAAACTTCGGCAAACGCATTTCCATATGTCTCCTCTGCCAGGGATTGATGTACCAGCAGCTGCTGAGCCACCAAGTGCCCCTTGTCTCATCTTGGGTACAGGATTTGTGAATCCCTGGGTAACACCTCCTCTCCTCTCCTCTCCTCTCCTCTCCTCTCCTCTCACTTTTGCTTGGAAATCTGCTCTAGGCACAGCAGCCTGACTGTGCCCACATTCCACCCGCTAAACAAACAGCCAGATCAATACTGCCATTAAACCAACCATTTTCCACCCCAAAATGAGCTATGGGACTTTTGGGGTGGGAAGTGAGACCCTCATTCCACCTCCAGATTCACTCTCCCCATCCCCAGCTCTATCCCCAGCCCCATCCCTTGCTCAGTGCTGGAGCAAGTGCTTGGATTCCAGGCAAGATGTTCCCAGTCTCCTTTGCCTTTTAAGGCAACATCTGAGTGGGTTTGAGGGTTACAAATGCTAACAAGCCATGGCAATGCTCATTTTAGTCTATTTAGAGGAAACGGGAAGGCATTTCAGTTCATCAAAACACTGGTGATTAATCAACCGACTACCAGGCTGTTTTCATTAGGCTTATTTTTAAAGGTCTGACACGCTGTGTAAAAATATTCCCCTAATAAATGTGCTTGTGGCAGAGGGAATGGTACAGAGGGGGTGCAGCAGCACTGGTTTCCAGGTACCCAAGGTAAATATACCAGTGGGCAGAGAGAAGTGAGCAGGCAGGACTCGGGATAGCCATGAAGAGAGGACAGCTGGCCCTGAGCTGCAGGAGAAGCTGTGCTGGTGGCCACAGGGGCAGCCAGGGGTTCCAGAGCAGGGGAAAGGTGCTTTTCTTGGTCCACTTCTCCACCCCTGAAACATAGCTCTGCCACTAAGCTCCACTTCCAGTTGCACTTCCAGCCTGGAGGTAAGGACTTTGGAATTATCCCCAGTGGTGGGCTGGTGACACTGAGGCTGGGTGCTGCAGCATGGGCTGGGCCAGTGGGACACACTGAGAGCCCTGAGATGGTAGAAAGACAGGAGGAGACAAGGACATGTTCCCTCTTGGGCACACATGTGGCCTCAGGCAGGGCGCAGAGCAGACCTGCTTTGGAAATTACCTCAGGCTCCAGCAAGGGATGGAGATGTGATCCTTAGTTTTAGAAACACAGATCTGGTTTCTTGCCTGAACTTTTTTCCTCCTGATTCCTGTCCCTCTGCTGCCACTGGAGCTGGGCACGTGCCAAGGGCACTCCCAAAGCATCTCCACAGGAGATGAAGCAGCTTGGACCCCTCTTATCCCCTGCGACCATCCAGCACTTCTTCCAGTAACCTGCAGCTCTTAGATGGGATCCTTCTGTTGCATCCCAAATTTTCTGTAAGCAAATGATCCCACAAGTGCTACCCACAGTGGCAGAAATGCCATGATGGTCACTGCATATGTGTTGCATTCCCTTGTTCCCATGCCTGGGGCCACAGCTGGCTCCTTTTCCCCCAGATTCTTTTCCCTGACTGCTCCCAGCTCTCTCTCCCCTGATTCCTTTTCCCCCACCTCTTTTTCCAAATCCCATTCTGTGGCTCCAGGTCTCCTCTCCCCCAAACCACAGCGTGTGGACACATGGTCACACATGCATGGATGGAAGCTTTAATCACGTAACAGGACACACCCAGCATGTGCTGCAGCAGCTTTCCCAAGCAGGGATTTTCCATGGATTTAATTTTCCTCTAGTTTAATTTGCTTGGAGTAAACTATCACCTTCTCCAAGCATGGGAGATGTTGCTGGTCATTCTCACCAGGGTTTTTCTCCCTTTCTCCAAGTTCTGTTTATCCCTGGCCAAAGTCTTTGCTCTTCTTTGTCTTGGATGTGCCCACGGTGCTCAGGGGAGACTCAGAGCTCACCAGTGTTAGACTGGGTGAGCTTGGGCTGGGAAGGAGAAAGATTTTTGGAGCAGTTGGCATGGAGATGAGGCTGCTGGCTCTGACTCGATGAGTGCTCAGCCTGGGGTCACCAAAGGGTTACAGAGAACCCTGAGGAGGATAAATGTCCCTTCTCAGAGGAACCTGCAACCTGGGCACTCCCAAACACCTTGGAAAGGCGGTGTTGGGTGCCAGCAGGGGAACACCAGTGTCCTCATCCCACAGTCCTCCTGCCAGGGCTCTTCCTCCACTAAGGTGCTTCGCGATGTCACTGAGCATTGGTGCACCATTCTGGTGCTGGGAATAGACCACACCTTGGTGAGAAGGACCCCTGGCTCAGTGCCTGAGGAGTGGCATCACCTGCTCCCTCCAGCACCCAGGACTGCATGGGGTGCATGGGAGCCCCATCCCTGGTCCCTGGGGTGGCAGCAGTGGGGGCTGTGTGGACACCAGGCCAGGCTCTGTAGGGGTCTGGCATGAGCCTTCCTGTCCCTGTTCAGCCTTGTGCCAGGGAGCCAAGAAATTGCTTAACTAAATAAACAGCTCTCTCGTCCTCGATGGCATCTGTTTATATACCAGGTACAAACAGTCCCCAGGGCTGCCCATGCACAGCCAGTTCTTTCCACAAAAATCTGTCCCTGAGGGCTGGCAGTACTGCATATAGGGAAAGCTCAGCCTTATGCTGCCCCAGCATGGACACTGTGGAGCCCCAGTATGAAGAGGAGGCCAGCCTGACTCCTGTGGTGTCAGGATTCAGATCTGGGGGTTCCAGGCACTGGGTGAAGCCACAGTGCTGTCCTGATCATGAGAGGGTCCAGGGAGATTGTAACGGCATCACAGCTGCATCTCCCAGAGGCATCTTCCTTCCTCCTTTCCCTTGAGTCCTAAAATCCCCCTAGCAAAGATGATGAGCCATGCCAGTGCTGAGGACCTGTGTGTTCCCTAGCTGTGGAGGAGGGAGAAGGGCATTTAAATTGCCAAGCTTTGATGTGAAATTTATGGTAGTGTGTGCAGCAAACTTGGTCCCAGTGTCAAGTTCATCTCCCTTCAGCCACCTGAAGTGTTGGTTCCTCTCCCTTGGGAATGGACGTGTTTCATGTCATGGAGTCCCAGACTAGTTTGGGTTGGAAGGAACCTTAAAGTTCATCCCATTCCATCCCCTGCCATGGGGGACCTTCCACTGTCCCAGGCTAATCCAAGCCCTGTCCACCATGGCCTTGGACACTTCCAGGGATGGGGCAGCCACAGCTTCTCTGAGCAACCTGTGCCAGGGCCTCACCACCCTCACAGGGAGAATTTCTTCCCAATATCCCACCTAACTCTGCCCTCTGGCAACTGCCAGAGAGAAGGATGGGAACCATATCAAAGGTTGTACCAATGCTGATGGAGACCCCTCCCAGCCCCTCAGCCATGGTTGAAGGCTGCAACGAGGCATTGGCTGTGTCCCCAAGCTGCTGGACTTGGCTATGGCCAGTAGCAATGCCTAGGACAGGCTGTACCAATGGCAAGGGTCAAGTGCTTGTAAAAATTACTAAAACTTACTTTCTGACTTTCCCCCCGAGTCTCCAAGCCCTTCCCTCTTATGATGTCTTTGGACACTGGGGGCAGATATGCTGGGAGAACCTCATGCATTAGAAAGCTGTAAATGCCATGCTCCCATTTCCTTGGTTTTCTGCTCAAAAGTGCAAACTGCTGTTGAAAGCAGAATGGTTTTGCAGAACCCAGGGTTGGAGTGACTGCTGGGTCAGCAGTGTCACTAGGGACACTGCTATGGGCTCTCCCCTGCTTGCACACACATCCAGGAGAGTGTTGGGCTACAGACTGTGAAAAGCGACCAAGCATCCAGCTGGAAACCGTTTAGGAAAGGTGGGAAAGCACCTGGAGCTCACAGGGAGACAGGCACTACCTCCATCCCTAGTTAGAAAAATGATTTAAAAAATTATAACTTAGAGGAATATGAGAGAAGGTGCCTCCTACATCTTGTTCATTTATGGCCTGTTAGGGAGGGCGTCCTGCAAACCTCCAGAGCCCTTTGGGAGGGGGGGTGGAAGTAGAAGGAGAGCAGAGCTGCCTTAGAGAGCTGCAGCAGGATCTCATCACACCTGGATCCTGCAGGCTCTGCCTACATTCAAGGCACTCAGATGCTGTACCCTTCCCTGGAGCTGGGACCTCGGCTGGGCCAAATATTCCTCTTCGATGTTCCCATGTAACAGAGGTCAGTGACAGTGAGACGGGGGTAGCAACTCTGTAGGTCTGAGACACCTGTTTCTGTAATTCCCAGTTGTTTTTCTCCCACTAGGAAAGCAGGTTGAGCAAGAATAAGGGAGACAAAAATCAAGAAGAAAAAGGAAAAGAATCTCCTTCCAATGAACTGGCCCAGAAACAAGATACTAAAGTGGGGAAAGACTCTAAAAAGGAAGAAAGTGTTCAGAAAACAGACCGGAAAGGTAAAGCTGAGACTGAGACCAAGAGCAAAGAGAATAAAGCTATGAATGATAAAGTCAAGGCCATGGAGAAAAAGCTGATGGGGAAGGACAAGAAGGAGGAAGAGAAGGGTTCAGTGTTGAAGAAGGACACAGAGAAGAACAAAAAGGGGGAAGAGAAGAGCTCAGAGATGAAGAAAGATGCAGGGGAGGATAAAAAGGAAGAAGAGAACAGCTCATATTTTAAAAAGGAGGATGCAGGGAAGGATAAAAAGGAAAAAGAGGTCTCAGCAGCAAAGGAAGAGACAGAGGAAGAAAAAAAGCAAGAAGAAAACGATTCAGCATCAAAGGACACAGGGAAGGACAAAAAGGAGGAGAAGAGTTCAGAATCAGAGAAACAGGCAGAAAAAGACACAAGAGGGGAAGGTAAGAAAGAAAATGATAAAAAAGAAGAGGAAAAGGCTTCAGCTGTGAAAAAATCTAAGGCAGATGAGAATGATAAATCCCAGACAGAAGCAGAAAAGGCAGAAAAGGTGGAGGAGAAAGAGGAGGCCAAGGCAGCAGCCGGGAGCAGCCCTTCCAAGTCTTCCTCCAGCAGCTCTGCAGATCAAGCCAAGGACGATGAAGCCTCCAGCATCTTTGACGAGCTCATTGAGAAGGTGAAGAACAATGACGCTGAGGTGACCGAGGTCAACGTGAACAACTCTGACTGCATCAACAACGAGACTCTAGTGCGCTTCACCGAGGCCCTGGAGTTCAACACTGTGGTCAAGGTGTTTGCCCTGGCTAACACCCGCGCTGATGACCACGTGGCCTTTGCCATTGCCATAATGCTCAAGTCCAACAAGGTGCTGACAAGCATCAACATGGACTCCAACCACATCACAGGCAAGGGTATCCTGGCCATTTTCCGGGCACTGTTGCAGAACAACACACTGACGGAGCTACGTTTCCACAACCAGCGGCACATCTGTGGGGGAAAAACAGAGATGGAGATTGCCAAACTCCTGAAAGAGAACACCACACTCCTGAAGCTGGGCTACCACTTCGAGCTGGCTGGGCCACGCATGACCGTCACCAACCTGCTGAGCCGAAACATGGACAGGCAGAGGCAGAAACGCCTCCAGGAGCAGAAACTGGCACAGGAACGGGGGGAGAAGAAAGACCTCCTGGAGGTGCCCAAGTCTGGAGCACTGCCAAAGGGGTCCCCCAAGGCATCTCCGCAACCATCCCCCAAGGCTTCCCCCAAAAGCTCTCCCAAAAAAGGAGGGGCACCCACCATACCACCCCCACCTCCTCCTCCACTTGCTCCACCACTGATGATCAACGAGAACCTGAAGAACTCGCTCTCACCAGCCACACAGAGGAAGTTAGGAGACCGGGCGCTGCCAGTCCAGGAGAAGAACTCTCGAGACCAACTCCTGGCAGCTATTCGCTCCAGCAACCTCAAACAGCTCAAGAAGGCAAGTGCAGGGCCAGGTGGGGCCCATGCACAGGGTGGGGCTGGGGGCTGAGGTCATAGCCACTGTCACTCTGGCAGTGTTCTTCTCAGGAGTGGGGTTGTGTCCAGCTCCTGCACAGGGGCAGATCCATCCCTTTGCCAAGCACATAGGGAAGGAAGATCCATCCTTTAACACCATCCTGCAGAGCAGATGGGGTCAGCAGGTCCATCTCTTGGCAGAGAGCATGACAGGTGCAGATCTATCCCTTGGCTCCTGTGTTAGGCAGATCCACCAGGATCCAGGGGCTGGGACACCAGGAAAAACCCATCCGTAAGTTATAACTCACTGGGCTCTTAATATCTTCTTGTTGTGGCTGAGCCCATGCCCCTGGGGTAGAAGGTGGCCCAGGATGGCTGGAGAGGCTTCATCTGCATGTAAACAACTGAAACATTTGTTGATGTCAGTCCCAGTCTGGAGTTGACTAATCCTTTTGAACTCTTTACATATGAGTGACTGAATGTTGCTCTGAGGGTACTGACACAGCACTTGGGGACCAGCAGAGAGGTGTGGCCTACTTCTCAAAACAGCTAGACTGTTAGCCAAGGGTGGCCTGGGTGCTTGAAAGCTGTGGCAGCAACTGCCTCCTAATACAGGAGGTCCATAAATTCACCCTTTAGCAGCACATTATCAAGTATGTACCCCAGGCAGTAATAACTGCTGGAATAAAAGGGCCTAATGCCGGTCCCAGCAAGGAGCTTTGAAACCTCTCACACACTCCAGGTGGTTTGTGTCCCTGCTGGGCTGTCCATGGGCTGGAGTGTGGGGACAGCCAGCCTGGCCAAGAGAACGAGGTCATTGAATGGTTTGGGTTGGAAGAGACCTTAGAGATCATCTCTTTCCTGTCATGGGCAGGGAACACCTTCCACTAGCCCAGGTTGCTCCAAACTCCACCCAGCCTGGCCTTGAACACTTCCAGGGATGGATCAGCCCCAGCTTCTCTGGGCAATCTATGCGAGGACCTCCCCACCTTCACAGGGAGGAATTTCTCCCCAGTAGCCCATCTAACCCTGCCATGGATGTCCCTACACCATGGCAGTGACATTCCTGCACCCCCTCCCATTGCTCGCCCAGTAATGGGGTGTGCTTCCCTGCAGGTGGAGTTGCCGAAGCTGCTGCAGTAGGGTGCGGGAGGATTTTTCCCCTGCAGCCCATGGCAGACCCCCAGACACTCACCTTTCTCGTGACAAGCCCTTTGGAACCTGCAGTGACCGACGCTAAGGAGCAGGGATCTCTCTGGGACACGGAGGATGGGCCGGGCCCAGCAGGACATGATGGAGGAGGTTGTATTTATTTTTTGATGGTTGTGAAGCCTTCAAGCTCACTCTTCTACCAGCACTGTGCCCCACCAGAGATGCCAAGAATAGAGCAGGGGTCTGCAGAGCTGATCCTTATGGAAATCCCCCGTCAGAGCATAACAAAGGGGTTTGGCACCCCACTCTATCCAGGGTCCAGCCTGGAGTGAGCAAAAGCACTCCCAGCCTTGGGGAGGAGCAGGGGACACCCAGGCCATCATCACATCACCACAAGGTTTCTGGGTGGCCAGCAGAGTTTTGGGATTCAGGCACAGCAGTGGCTGCAGAGTTGGGGGTTCAGGCTTGACGTCAGGAGGAATGGGAGGGTGGGAGAAGGGAGCAGCCAGGGAGAGAGGGGGCATGGAAGTGGTGGGACACAGGGAACCAGGCTGGGGCCAGGAGCTTGGGGCATCTTGTACGCACCCACAGCACTGCAGGGGGACCCCCAGAACCCTCAGAGCATGGAAACCAAATCCACCTCAAAGAGAGTAGGGAAAGCACCAGCTCAAGGGGGCAGTGGGTTTTGGGGTCATGTGAGGGGTCTGTGTTGCCCCCCCCCCCCCCCCCCCCCCCATCCTTCCTGTCGTGACACCTTGATCACGATTTGTATGACTGTGGCCACTGCATCAGCAATAAAGCTCACCCAATGCTTCCCGTGCCTCTGGACAGGTCCATGCCCCCAAAGCCCAAACTGAGGCGCAGGGGGTGTCTGGGAATGGACTCAGCAATCTCAGCCAGGGGCAACTCTTCCCCCTCCCACACCCATAGCGCTCCCTGAACTGGGCACCTTGGGACCACCTGGACAACCCAGCCTGGGTGTCTCTAGTCACCCACCCAGAACCCCTGCAAATGGGGCACCCAGGACTCCCCGAATGGGACAGCCACACCCCCGAAAATGAGGCACCCTGCTGCTACTGGACACAGACAACCAGGCACCCAGAGCGATGCAGACTCCCCAAAACTCTGGAGTCATGAAGAATTGGACACCCCAGCACCACCTCATAATCATCTAAAACCCATTGAGTGCACCCAGAACTGGGAATCCTGGGGCTGCCCCAGGGTCACCCCGAACTCCAAGGTAATCCGGAGCTGGGTGCCTCAGGGTCACCCTAAAACTCCGGGGTGACCTCAAAACTGAGCGCCCCAAACCCCCGGGGTCACCCAGAACTGCTCTTCCCCCTGACACCACGGGGCCAGGGCCGTTTTGGGGATGCAGCAGCACACGGGCCTCCCCTGGGAGGCTCCCCCTGTTCCGGGACACCCACGTGCGTGGCTGAGAGGCGGCCCCCGGTACAGGTGAAACGCCGTTTTGGGGAGCATTTCTGCAGCCGCGCAGAGCCGTGGCCCCAGCGGGAGGAGCAGTATCCGCACCACGGCGTTCTCATGCCGCTTGCCCCCGCACTCCTGCCCCTTGGGGCGGTCCCTGCTAATGCGGGCACCGCGGGGCCATTGGGACATCCCACACCGAGCATCCGGCCGGCCCCGCGGTGAGAGCACTAGGGGCATCGCCCGAACACCGACGGTGTCACCTAGACCCACGGGGGGCCGGGGCGGGCCGGGGCAGTGCAGCTCCCGACGGGGAGGAAGCGGGGCCGCAGGGGGCGCCGTTAACGAACCGGAGACGCTGCTGTGCGCGGCGGGGCCGGCAGGGGGCGCCGTTAACAAACCGGAGGCGCTGCTGTGCGCGGCGGGGCCGGCAGGGGGCGCCGTTAACGCACCGGGGCCGCCGTTAACGAACCGGGGGCGGAGCGGCGCGCGCCGGGGCCGGCAGGGGGCACGGTGCAGCCCCGGCCCCGGCCGGTCCGTCCCGGATCCGGCAGCGGCAGCGCCCGACGGGGGCTGTTGGGGGTGTCCGGCTCCGCTGCCTCCGCTCGGTACCGGGGAAGCGGCGCAGAGCACACGGCTTCGGCGATGGACGGCGGGGCGGCGGCATGAGGCGGCGGAGGCGGCGGGGAGCATGGCGGCGGCGGGCGGCGGCGGGGCGCGGCGGGGGCTGCTGAAGCGGAAACCGAACTTCACGCTGCAGGAGCTGGAGGTGCTGATGAGCGAAGTGCTCCGGTACGAGCCGCTGCTGTTCGGCGCCGCCGCCGGTACCGTGAACGCGTACGAGAAGCAGAAGATCTGGTGGCGGATCACGCACAAGGTGAACGCCGCCGGCCGCCACCAGCGCGACATCGGCGAGGTGAAGAACCGCTGGCGGGGGCTACGCCGCCGCGCCGGGGACAAGATCAGCCGGCACCGGCTGGAGCGGCAGGGCCCGGCCGGCAGGGCCGCCGCCAGGAACGGGAACACCGGGAATAACGGGAGCAACGGGAACGGCGCGGCCGAGCCCGGCCCGGGGCCCGCCCCCGCCCCCGTCTGGGGTCCTCGCGGCGCCGCCGGAACCGAGCCTCCGATGCGCAGCGCCGAGGGCTCGGCACAGCACGGTGAATGTGCGGGCAGCGGCAGGGGGACGGGCCGGGGACGGAAGAGTGAAGAGACGTACATGGAGGACCAGGACTCGGACATGCGAAACCGGGACTAGGACGGGGGAGAGCGGGGCAGGGTCACGGGGATGCTGGGACCAGGTTGCAGGGGGACCTGCACACAGACCCTGGCACTGGGACCCGTACAGGTGTATGGTGGGACAGGGACATGAAGAACCAGGACACAGACATGGGAGACCGGGGCAAGGACTTGCTGGGTGACCGGGATGGGCATGGGGGATGAAATAGGGGCCACGGATGAGGTGGAATGGAACATCGAGAAATGGGTTTAGGAAGTGGGGACAAGTAACAGGTACATGGGGACGCTGGGACCAGGACACATGCATGGAGGAATTTCTCCCCAGTATCCCATCTAACCCTGGTCTCAAGAGAGACAAGGACCAGGACCAGAACATGCGGGACCAGGACATGGACATGGGAAACCAGGACACAGACACAGGGCCACTGGGACTTGGGGACTTGGGAGGAACAGGGACACAAGGGTACCAGGAAGTGAGGGGATCAGGATACAGGAGACCACAATAGTGACATGGAGATACTGTGACCAAGATGTGGGGGTCCAGGACACAGACATGGGGGACAGGGACTTGGATGCAAGAGAACTGAGACTGAAACAGGTCACTGGGACCAGGACAGGTGCATGCAGGGACACAGGAGACCAGGACCAGGGTGCGCAGGACAAGGAAAGGGACACAGCCAGACCAGAACACAGGGGCAGGTGCATGGAGAGATAGGGATGGGGACTCAGGGGACCTGGATCAGCACCTGGAGAACCAGGATACAGGGCATCAGTACAGGGGCATGAGGAACTGGAACAGGGACACAGAGGCACCTGGACCAGTACAGGGACATGGAGTAACCAGGACACAGGGGACCAGCACAGAAACGGTTCTGGGACAGGGACACATAAGACCAGGACCAAGAGCAGGGGATGAGGAGCAAGAAACTGGGAGCAGGACAAGTGTGCAGAGGGACACGGACAGGAACACAGGAGATTAAGGCCAGGACAGGGACACTGGAACCATGCCATGGAGGACAGGAACATGGATTCAGGGGACAGTGGCAGGGACATGGAGGATTGGGACAGGGACATGAGGGATATGACAGCATCCTAAGGCATCACTAGGCCTGGGAAGATACATGGAGGGACTGGGACACAGATCCAGGCAAACAGGGCAGGCATGTGAGGACTGGGACCAAGATGTGGGAAAAACGAGGACCAAGACACTGGGACCACTACAGGTGCATGGAGGGACTGAGGCAGGAACAGTGGGGCAGGGACACAGAGGGAACATAGAGTCAGGGCAAAGGGATATGAACATGGAATATTGGGACAGGTAACAGGGATGTGGGAGGACCAGGACAGGGACATAGGAGACAGGGAGAATAACAGGCTCACCTATACCAGGACAGAGGGGTACCAGGACCAGGACAAGCATATGGGTGACTGGGATTACGACAGGGACAAAAGGCACAAGGTACTGGGACCTGGACAGGGATAAGAAGAGGCTGGGAACAGGGCAAAGATGTGGTGGGCCTGGGACAGTGATATGGGGCAGGACCAAGACAGAGACAAGGAACATGCTGGTACTGGGACCAGAACAGGGACATGGGGGTTAGTGGGGTGAGAACTGTGAAATAGTGGTACCAGGACCAAACAGGGACATAGAGGTACCACATTCAGCACAGGGATATGTGTGCACTAGGGCAGGGACGTGGGAGTACCAGGATCATACAGGCACATGGGGACACCACATTCAGGATAGGCGTATGGGAGTACTGGGAACAGGAGAGGGACAGGGACAGGGGATGGGGTTGAACTGTCGTGAGGGACACGGGACTATGGAGATAGGTATAGGTGGAACCAGGACTGGGTGCAGGAGAGGGGATGTGGGAGCACAGGGATGGAGACAACAGGGTCTTTTACTTGGTCCGTGGGGCACTGGGGACACGGGAGATCCCTGCAGCTGTTCTGTGCTCCCCCTCCATCCCACAGGTGTCAAGGAGGAGCCAGTGAAGGAGGAGCCTGTGGAGGTGAAGACTGAGCCCTTCCACGGCCCTGCTGCCGACGGCGTTCCCGGCCGCGGCTCAGACTGTCGGCTGCCCCGCACCGGCATCTGCCCGCCCGACGAGCTGGGCGAGGGCTGGAGCCGGAGCCCCCCGCGCTCCGCACCCTCCGAACTCTCGCTCGGCGACCTACGCGGGCAGCAGGAGCCGCTGGGCTCCGACTTCCCGAGTCTGCTATTGGAGCAGGAGGCCGAGCAGCTCTGCGGCGCGGGAGAGGCGGGGCCCCCCGGGGCGGCGGGGCTGGACGGGACCCCCGAGTGCCCCCAGCTCAGCCTCGTGCAGTCCCATGAGCGGCTGGTGCAGGAGATGCGGGCGTTCCGCCGGGAATACGCCGAGAGCCGTCGGGAGACCACGGCGGTGCTGCGCGGCATCGCCCAGGCGCTGGGCGTGCTCAGTCGCAGCCTGGCCGAAATCCGTGACCTCTACCTCCGGGAGCGGGGGGTCCCCAAATCCTGAGCCTCCCACGCAGCTGGCTGTGTACACACACCCCTACCCCTCCCCCCAGAACCAACGTCGCTGCTTTTATTATTTTTTTTTATTATTTCTTTTCCTGTCCATCCCACTTCAATAAAACTCGGAGCTGCACCCCCACGGCTCCCCCCACTCAGACGGTTTTTGGGGATGATGCAGGGGGCTGGGAGATGGGACAGGGGTTTGTTCTTCCAGGCGGCTCTGCCTGGCTTTTCTCCTGGACTGATGGACTCTGGTCCCAAACTTAGCCAGCAGTGCTGGCAGGCAGGACTCCCACCAGGAACAACCATTGGGGTGACACACCACCCACCCTCCCCTGCTTATTCCTGTCCAGGGGAGGGGGCATGGATAGAGGAATTGTTCATGCACCCACAGTCCCAATCCCGGCACAGAATTTACTGTTTTCTCACCCAAAAGATTCTAGGGGTGGTTTCATGCCCCCGTTTTGAGTGAGGGGGGTTGGGTGGGCAGCAGCACTCCAGGCTGGCTTATCCAAGCAGCTGATTTGGTGGGAATTACCTGTCCCAACACAATTTTGGGATGGAGAAGTCTCGGGAGCAGAAGGGACAGAGGAATTTCATGTTCCCCTGTATTACAATTCACAGGAAGGGGGTGGGGGCATTGCCCTTTCTTTTTCCCCATTAGAGCCACCGAGACGACACCAGGCTGTGGGCACAAGACGTGGTTTAATGCCAACCCCAGAGGGAAGAGCCGGGGGTGAATCCGGGGTCGGTGTGCAGGGAGACAGCGATGCACGGCCCTCGGAGGACCCCCCCCGGGAACCCCTCCGCGGGTGCTTGGGGCCACTGGCACCCAGAGCCGGGGGAGCAGGCGCCCACAAAGGGCCCAGTGTGCGGCACAAGGGGCCGCCCTGTTCTGCTGGCACCGGATCACCTCAGGATGGCTGGGAAGAGCCCTGCCCAGCGCCAGCTAAGGCAGCTCCCCAGCACCAGGGGGGGGTCCCTGGGGTCCCCAGCCTGGCCCCGCTGGCCGGCGGCGGGTGTGGGGTTCCCCGCGGGGACTTATGCTCCAGGGTAGCTGGGCTGTGCCGGGACGTAGGGTGGTGGTGCTGTGGGGGGAGCAGATGGGGTGTCACCAGGCCACCAGGCCCCCCGAGGAATAGGGAGGGTCCCCATTCCACCCCCGTGCTCACCTGTGGGGTTGTAGACAGGGGGGCCGGAGGGGTACATGGGGTACTGAGCGGCAGGGCCAGGTGGGGGGTACATGGCCATGGGGGTGAAGCCAGGCTGGGGAGGTGTAGGGCCAACTTTGGGGTCCATGGGGAAGGGAGCTGGGGGAGCTGCGGAGTGGTAGCTGGACAAGGGAATTTCCGGGCCTGCAGGAGAGATTGGGGAGGTCTGTGGCACCCCAACTCAGGGACTCAAGGATGGTGCCTAAGAGTGGCGGTGGCCCTGGGGTTTGTAGCTACTGGGGTGTTATCCACACCCCCACCGCAGCGTCCAATTTTCCCCCCCACATCCCTTCAGGTCCCACCACCTCACCCGCCCGCCCCCCCACTCCACCGTGTACCTCAGGGCCTCTCCTTCTCCCCCATCCCTGCACCCTACCCCTCCTCCTACACCTTCATCCCTGCAGTCCACTCCCCCACCCTCCCAATCCCTCCCTTCATTCCAACAGCTCCCCTTCTTTTTGCCCCCCCCTCCCCCCACCATGAGAGGGACTTTTTTGCTCCCTCTCATCTCTCATCCGTTCAGCTTCCACCTTTCACCCCAACACTCCTGCACATCTCTAGCCCCACCCCCAGACCCCTTCTCCCTGTACCTACTGGATCCTGCAAACCCCCATCCCTGCAACTTCCCCCTTTCCATCCCCAGGCCTCCCTGCATTCCTTGAGGCCCCCTTAAAATCCCACCACCCTGTACCTCTGGAATCCTCCTGTAGCTCCCCCATCCCTGCTGCCCAACCCCTGCATTCCTCCAGGCCCCCCCTCCTTGCCTCTTCCCAAACCCCTCCACCCTCTACCTACAGGACCCTCCTGCACCTCCCACCCCTGTAGTCAACACACACACAACCCCAATTCCCACAGGCCGACCGTCCAGGCTCCCCCAGTCCCCCACCCCACTGGGGCACTTACAGCACCGTCATGCACTGAGCCTCCTCCTGCATCCCCCATTCTTGCATCCCCCATTCTTGCATCCTCCCATTACCCCAGCTCCTCTTAACCCTGCACCTCCTTACCTGCAGGACCCTCTTGATCCTCTCCCCTCCACACCCTGCATCCCCCATCCCTACAGCCCCCCACCAGACCCCCTTTCCCCCTGAAATCCTCTAGGCCCCCTCAACCCCACTCCACCTTCTTTTCCTACAGGACCCTCCTCCACTGGTCCTCCTGCACCCCCATCCCTGCCCCCCAGCCCCGCACCTTGCAGGGGGGTGCGGGAGTGCTGCCGGCGCTGGTACAAGTAGCAGCAGGAGCACATGAAGCAGCAGACGATGGTGGTGACGATGGCGATGAAAAGCACCACGGCTGAGGCGATGCCCGCGATGGTCTTGGGGCTGTGGGACCCCCATGTGTGGGGAGCAGGGCCTGGGGGGCACCCGGGGCACACACCCCCAGCCAGCACCCACTGATACTGCCCACTGCCCCGTGCCCAGCACCCAGTGACACTGCCCAGTGCCCAGAACCAATGCCCAGTGACACTGTCCAGCACTGCTATCAGCACCCAGTAGCAGTGACCACTGCCCAGCACCCAATAGCATTGCCCACCCAGTAGCAGTGCCCAGTTCCCAGTGCCAATGCACTGTACCAGTGCTCACTGCCCAGTGACCAGCATCCAGTAGCAGTAACCAGTGCCCAGCACCCAGTGTAAGTTTCCAGTACCAGCATCCAGCACCCAGTGTCAACACCCAGTACCAGTAGCCAGTACCCGATCCACAGCATCCATCCCCCAGTGTGCAGTGCCCAGTATCAGTGCACAGCAACCTGTGCCCAGTACCAGTGTCCAGCACCCAGAACCAATGCCAAGAGCCTGGCACCCAGTACCAGTACAAAGAGCACAGCACCTAGTAGGAATGCCCAGCACCTACTGCAAAGCACCAATGCCCAGTACCACTGCCCAGAGACCAACAACCCAGTACCAGTATCCAGCACCCAGTACCAGTGCCCAGTACCCAGCACTCAATGGCCAGCACCCAATGTTAGTGTCCAGCACCCAGAACCAACAGCCTGGCAACCCAGTAGCACTGCCCAGTGCCCAGTACCACTCCCCAGTGCTCAGAACCAGTGCACGGCATCTGCATTCAACACCCAGTACCAGTGCCCAGTACCCAATACCAGTGTCCAGCACCACTGCCCAGTGCAGAGCACACAACGATCAGCACCCAGTACAACTGCCTATCACCAGCACCCAGCACTAGTGCCCAGCACCCCGTCCCAGCACCCAGCCCACCCAGGAGAGCCCCCAACCCCATCAGCCCTGGCTGTGGCACCTGAAGGCAAGGCAGTGGCGCTGCTGGCGCTCGGTGAGCAGGCGCAGAGGGTCTCGGCAGCAGTACCGCTGATGGCATGTGCCGCAGCAGAAGGTGAAGAACTCGCAGTCGAAGCCAGGGTGCCATGACCCATTTCTGTCCACGTACCACAGGCAGTCTTCACCCCCGGCCACTGTGGACAGCCGCCCACCACCGGGGCCTTGGAGCACCTGGCCACCACCACCCTCAGGGGCATCAGCAGCACCCCATGCCCTTCCTCCCCCACATGAGCACAGCCTGTACCCCACTGTGTCCTATTCCCCTTGTACCCCGGTCCATCCCGCCCCATGGACCCACAGACTGTGCCCCTATGTACCCCCAAACCCCTGCTCTGCTCCATCCTGCCCCATATCCCTTAAAAGCCTGCTCCATTCTGCCCCTGTGTACCCCCATATCCTGCTCCGTCCCACTCCACTTCCTTCCAAACCCTGCCCCTATGTACCCCCATACCCTGTTCCATCCACCCCTACACCCTTGCAGATGCCACTCCATCCCACCCAGCCCTATGACCCCTACAGATTCCTCCAGATCTCCCCAGCTTCCCCTCCTTCCGCGTGCTCCAGTGGCACTTCCCACTCTATTTCTGTCCGAAGCCAGCTGTCTTCCCAGAAATAGCCGCGGGTGGAGGCCCGGGGATGGCCGAGGGGCCGGGGCAGTGGGCGGGCAGCCACGGAAACGGGCTTTGCGGGAATCTCGCATGGCATTATTCACACACGCCAAAATGGGATCACAGCAGTTCAGGGACAAGTGGGGAAACTGAGGCACGGGGTTCGTACATGGGAAGCCCCCAAATTCCTCGGGGCTGAGCATGCCGGCCCGGTTAGCCACCGGCTCCCTGCATGCTGTTCCCGGGGTCACTCCGAAAGCGGCAAATGGGAGGCGGGTTCGGGGGGAGTTGACACAGTGCCCAGGGGGACGCTTTGTTGCAAGCAAGCCCCGGTCAAAGGGGCTGTGTGTGGCACGACTCACAGTCACGGCTGGTGGCACTGAGTCCCTCCCACCCAGCGGGATCCCTGTGTCACAGATGGTGGCACGGTGTCCAGTCGCAGGGTGGCACCGGATCCACCGGCCCTCCCCGGTCCCCGTATGTCTCTTACCCATCGAGGCGGCCACGGCCACCAGCAGGGTCCCAGCCAGGGGCCAGCCGCTCCCGGGGCCGCCGGGCCCCATCCCGGGGCCGGGCCCGGTGTCCCCGCTCAGAGCTGCCCGGGACAAGGGCGGCGGCTGCGCGGCGGCACCGGGACCGGATCCGCTCCGGTGGCCGGTCCTGGTGCCGCCCGGTGCCGGTGCCGCGGGGCCGCTCCCTCTGCCGGTGTCTCCCGGTGGTCCGGTGCCGGTGCGGGGCGGCGCAGGCCCGCAGTGACGCCGCAGCCCGGCGGCGCTCGATTGCTGCCTGGTGACCCCCCCTCTCCCGTCCCCCCGGCGCCGCCTCCCGCGGCAGCCAGCGGCCCCCGCCCGCCCCCACCGGGAGGAGCGGCGCCGCCGGCCCCGGGCACTGGCAGGGCCGGGCGGGGATGCGGGGACCGGAGTGTCTTCCCTAGCACTGGCTCCACACCACTGCACCCCCCCGCAACCCTTATTTCCCCTCTTCTTGCACCCCATCCCTTCGCTCGTCCTTGCACCACTCCCGGCACTCCATCCCCTACATCAAATCCCTTCCCTACCCCCTGCTCCCCATCATTTCCCCTCCTGGCACCCCTTCTCCCACCTCATGCCACCCCTGCCCTCCTTATTTGCCTGCCCTGCACCCCATCCCTTCCCTGCACCCCATCACTTTGGTTCACAGCACCCTTTCTCCAACCCCATCCTTTCCCGGAACACCTTATTTCCCTCTCCCTGCACCCCATCCCTTTACCCATCCTTGCACCCCTCCCCTGCACCCTTCCTGCCCACCCTCCTGCACCCCAACCCCGCACCCTTCACCTTCATTCCATCCTTCCTTTCTACTCCATGCCCCTTTCCCAGCCTGGGTCACTGGGTGCCAGGGTTGCACAGCTGGATCGGGGGCACCCTCTTGCCACTGGGATCACCCCATTACTACCCCGAGAACAGCCAGACCCCAAATCCACTGAGTCCCACCCTGGCAATGCCAACGGGACTCAGGGATGGGGGATGTCAGAGGGGACATGGAGGTGACACATCCTGAGAGTGATGTATCCCAAAAACCACTTTTATTACAGACCAGAACCTCAATTCAGGGTCGTGGTGACACCAAGGTCACCACAAGCACTGGGGTCACAGTGTCCCTATCAGCACTGCAGTGCCAGCGAGGGAACATGGGGTGAGGGCCAGCCCCTGCCACCCCACTGTGGCTCCCTCCTGTGTCCCCATGCCGGGGTGGGGAGGCACGAGACGTCCCTGCCGCCCCTGGGCCAGCCAGGATGTGCCCCCACCTCGGGGTGAGGACATGAGCACTCACACTTGGGTGACAATCTCGCCGTTCTCAGGCATATAGACCTGCACGGGCACGCCGGCTGCTGAGCGTCGCAGCACCTGCACCGGGGGACCCTGGGGGAACAAAGACCCTGTGGGTGCTGGCATCCTACCTTGTTTGAGGGGCACCACTGGGGGCACATCCCGGCACCAGGGCTGGCTGGAGGAGCTGTGGGGGCATGGCCACAGGTCCTCACTTGCTCAGCCTGTGTCCCAGCTGTGCCACGGGTGCATTTGTCCCAGCGAGACTCCCAGGAGGAAAAGGGGAGCTGGCCACTGAAATGTCTGCAGGGATCCTTCCCTGCTCAAGGGCACCCCAGTGCCACCCCAGGGACATGAGTCCTGCTTGTGGGAACCTGGGTGTGACAGGAGGGACCCATATGGATCCTGACCTAGGGACCCCCCTGAAGTACTGGTCCTTCCCATGGGACTCTCATGGGATGCCAGTCTTGCCCCAGTAACCCCCTTAAGGTTCTGGAATTTCCTCTGGGATGCCAGTAGGGTCCTTGTCTTGCACTTGGGATCTTCAAGAGAAAGTAGGCACCTACATGGAACCCCAGTCCTGCTCCAGAGACACCCTTAAGGTCCTGACCCTATCCCAGGGACTTACATGGGACCCCAGTCCTGCTCCAGGGAGTCCTGGTTCTGCCCCTGGGACCTACACGGAACTCCAAACCTGCCCATGGGACCCACAGCAGGGTCTCATCTTGTCCTGAAGGACCTTAAAGACCTTACTTCTGTTCCCAAGAACATAAGACCCCATTCCTGGCTGTTAGACCTCCTCAGGAACCCAGTCCTGCCCCAGGGACCCCTGTGGGACCCAAATTCTTGTTTTGTGATTCCCTCAAGACCCTAATCTTCCCACTGGGACCCACTCAGGACACTGGTCCTGCCCCAGGAACTATCAGGGACCCTCCAGACCCAACCTATAGGACCTTGGACCTGCTCAGAGGACCTTCCCTCAGAGGGTCCCGATCCTGCCTCAAAGGATCTTAAAGGACCTTGATCCTCTCCTCAGGACCCTCCTGAGACCATTTTCCTGCCCCACGGTCTCTTCTGGAATCCCAGTCCTGTCCCAACAACCCTCAGAGGACCTCATGGACTCCCTCAGGACTTCACTCCTGCCCTAGAAATCCTCATGGGACCCCACCAGAGCCGCATGTCCCTACACTACCATGTAGTGTAGTGACTCATGCTTGCTGCTCATGCCACCTGCAGGACAGCACCCAGGGGGTCCCCTTTCTCCCACATGACCACTCCCAGCCAGACCCTGTGTCATACCTGAACCAGTGACAGGATTCCATGAGCAATGGGCATGTCCTTGGTGATCCCACCATGGGGTCTCTGGAAAGCCCCTTGCCGGTCGAGGGAGTGGGGCCGGGCACCCCTCAGCCGGGCGCGTTGGTGCCATGACTTGAGCTCCTCAGTGACGGCGGCCTTGGAGAGCCCCCGGGCCCCAGCGGGCGCGTAGTCTTTGAGTGAGGGTGTGCGCACAATGCGGCTGCGTGAGGGCACCAGGCGCTGGTACCGCAGTGGGGCCAGATCCTGCTCGTACAGGAAAGTCAGGGGGCCAGCAGGTGGCAGGAGCTGGAGGGCACCCCGTGGGTAGTAACCAGACTCAGCAAGGGGCAGCGGAACTGCAAAGGACATATCAGGGCTGCTGCTGCCCGGGGAGGTGGCGTGGGAGATGCTGGAGAGGTCGGAGATGCTGTCATCAGAGCCAGAGCGGCATGCAGGGCCAGAGGTCAGGATGCAGGAGGTGGGCACTGTGACTGTGTAGTAGGTGGGGCGCCGGCGGGGTGCGGCGCTGCGGCCCCGTGGCTCAGCTGGCTGCCAGCATGGGTCCACCCTGCAGGCAAGACACTGTGGCTGCAGGAGGACCCTTCCCCTCACCCTAAAGCCAGGGCAAGCCCTGGGAAAGGTGTACCCATGGGTGTGGGGAGTAGCCACCCTGCAGGGAGACATCTAGCCTCCTCCCATGGGATTAGCTCCAGCTTCCCTGTGGGGCAGTCTCCAGCCTCCTCCCAAGGGATCAGTTCATCCTCCCCATGGGGCTGACCTCCATAATCTCCATACAGTTACTTCAATCCTCTCCTCCACGGGATCACTTCCAACCTCCTCCTAATGGATTTCTGTCCATCCTCCCCACAAGGTTTTCTCCCACATCCCCGCTGAATTATCTTCATCCTCTCTCTGGGATTATCTCAATCCTCCCCATAATATTGTGTCCATGCTCCCAATGACCAGGGTCCATCATTTCCATGGGGTTAGTTCCATCTCCTCCATTCTCCCCATAAGATCTTCTCCATCCTCCCCATAGAGTTAGGTTCAGCCTTCCCTTGGTGTTCTCTCCATTATCTTTTCCATGGGATTATCTCCATCCTCCTCCCCATGGGTTTAGCTCCATTATCTCCATGAGGGTCTCTTCATCCTCTCCCACAGGATTACTCCCATCCTCCTTCCCACAGGGTTAGATCCATTTTACTGCCAGTGGGACTATCTCCATCCTTCCTATGGGATTATTTCCAACATCCTCCCCATGAACTGAACTCCATCATCTTCACAGGGTCATTCCCGTCCTCCTTCCCATGGACTGAGCTCCATCCTCCACATGGGATTATCTCCATCCCCCACTCCATGGGGTTATCTCCATCGTCCCTTGCAGAGGCCCTTGTCTATCCTCCCCATGCTCAGGACATACCTCAGAGATTGGGTCTGTCCCTGCCGTCCCGATGGCTCTGGGGTGCTGGGAGCACTGGAACCCGCCTGCCGGCACAGCACCAGGGTCCGGATGGGGACGAACCGGTAGGAAGGGTCCCCTGTCCTGGACACTGGGGAGCCTGCAGGGTCAGGGCTGCTGGGGGCCAAGGAGCTGGCAGGGGCAGCCATCAGGGACCCAAGACAGCACTGGGAGCTCTGGGTTTCCCCATCCTCAAGGTCGATGCTGGGATTTTTGGCCCTCTCGTAGGGTCTGTCCAGGCTGGTCTCCTGCCAGGGAATGGGGGGTGGCATCAGAAGCCCTGAATGCTCCTCCTCCTCCTTGGTGGGGTCCTTAGGAGATGGGGACCTCTGTGGGGTGGCAGGTCCTGGTGGCCGTGTGTCCTCTGCAGGAGAGATGGAGGGTTGGGATGGAGGGGACACAAAGAGAGAGTTGGGATGGAGGGAACAGGTGGTTGGTTGGTATGGAGGGGAGATATGGGGGGTTGGGATAGAAGGGACACAAAAGGGAATGGCATGGAGGGGACACATGGCAGTGGAATGGGTTGGAGGAGCCACAGGGAGAGTAGAGATAGAGGGGACACAGGAATGCTTGGAATGGAGGGAAGATACCAGGGGTCCCCCCTGGTCCCCACAGCCCCCTCACCCTCCTCCAGCAGGCCGGTGTCAAATATGGAGCTCTGATTGGAGGCACTGAGCTCTAAGGGGCAGGGCCCTGTGAGAACAGAGCTGGGGCCGCCTCCGGGTGCCAAAGCGCTCCCACGGCCCCGCCACCACCCAGCGCGTCCCCGCAGGCCTCCACTCCCCTCTCCCACACCACCTGTCCCAACACGCTCCGGGACGGCAGCGGTACCGGCCAGGCCGGCTCTGCTGAGCCGTGTGCAGTTCCCAGCCTGCCTGGGATGGGCAGGCTGGGGGCACCAACAGGGAAGGAGACGCCACACCATGGCTCTGGTCCTCAGAGGGGACAGGGATGGAGAGAATGGGGACCCCCTTGGATGGCCACCACTGGGATGGGGACATGGCAGCTGGGCCACAACCTGCCCCCCTTTGGGTGCAGGTGCTGAGGATGAGTGATTTGGGATAGTTATGGGGTGCAAGCAGCAAGTGTGAATTATTAGGGTGCTTTCAGAGAGGTGCAATTAATGGAAGTGAAGTACTGGGGTAGATTCAGTGGGGTACTGCTGGGGATGGTTTATCGGGGTACATGCACTGTGGATGGACTTTTGGGGTGCATTCAGGGGATACATATGCCAGGAATGGTTTATTCGGGATGCATGCACTGGGGACTGTGTTTTGGGGTGCACTCACAAGGGTACAACCACCAGAGATTAAGTACTGGGGTACCTTCAAAAGGGTGCATTGACTGTGAGAGTGTATCAAGGTGCATGTAGCAGGGATGGTCTCCCAGGGGGCATCCAAGGGGTATATTCAGCAGGGATGGAAATTGGGGTGCATTCATCAGAGGGTATTGGGGGGGTGCATTCATTGGGGGTGTAGAACCAAGTTGTATTCACACAGGATGGAAAGCTGGAGTGCATCCAAGGATCCAATACATCCATGCATTCCTATTTTTGTATTCACCATGAATGGGAATTTGGGGTGCATCCAGGGAGGTACATTCACCAGGCATGGGAACTGGGATGGGGTACACACATTGTGGATGGCATATTGGGAAGGGACACACAGGGGAACGGCAGAGGGGCACGCATCCAGAGGGGTGCATGCACTTGGGATGAAGGACTGGGCAGCATCCAGTGGGGTGCATTCACAGAGAAGGGGTAATTCAGATGCATTCCCCAGGAGCACCCAACCAAGCAGCACCGCATTCTGCCTCCCTGCTCTCCAGCATCTCCCCACCATGGGGCTCGGGGTCTCACCCTTGGCAGTACTGGTGTCCCGCTGCCCTGCCAGGAGCCGCCGCTGGCTCAGGACCTGTTCCAGATCCCGCAGCTTCTGCTCCTCCCGGAGTGCTGCCGTCTGCCGCCTCTTGCGCACCTGCCGGCCAATGTTCTCCTCGTGGCAGAGCCGGCGGGAGGCCTCGGCAATCTGCAGCTGCAGTGCCCGCTCCCGTTCCAGAGGGTCCTGCAGGGCGCAGGGGACATGCTCAGAAACACATCTCAACACTCCTGAGCCCTCCGTCATGCTTAACACCCCAACACCACCCATAGCACTTGGGATCCCAACCCCTCCCAGCATCTCATCTGAGACCCCAACACCCAGCACCCCTCTTGGAACCCAACACCACCCATCATGCTCAGGACCCCACCACTACCCATAACATATGGAACCCACCTCCTCCCGTAATTCTGGCACCCTGATACACCTAGGATGGCCCCACACCCATCACTTTGGCACCCCAACCCCACACATTATGTTTAGGACCCCATGATAACCCCATTAGCACCCTAACACCACCCATCATGCTTGAAAGCACCCCCCTGCTCCCTCACCTACAGCACTTGACACCCAACCACCACCAATGGGATGGGGATGGCAACATTTCCAGGTGACTCTCAGGCAGTTTCCACAGCAGAGGGAATGGGATGGGATGGGATGGGATGGGATGGGATGGGATGGGATGGGATGGGATGGGATGGGATGGGATGGGTCCCCACCACTGTTGCACCCCAGGGACTGCCTCACCACCCCATGCAGAATGGCGATCTCATCCAGCTTGAAGGCAGCCCCGATCCTGCGACGGACCTTGGGGGGCTTCTCGCCAGCTTTCAGGGGGTACTCGCAGGGCAGGGTCCCCGTCAGCTCCTAAGGATGGCACAGGGAAACTGAGCAGAGCCATGGCAGTATATGAAGGTGGGCAGGGGGTCCTCATGCCCTGCTCACCGCCTCACGCAGGCACAGCCGTCGCAGCTCCTGGATGCAGCCATCAAGCTGGGCCTCCAGTGCCTGCTGCTGCCGCTGCCCCACCTGCACCCGCTCCTTCGGTGGGGACACTGGGCTGTCAGGGCCTGGAACAGACACATGGATGTCTGGAGGGATGGGAGCACCCAGGTACCACCCTCCACCACCCCACAGCCTCCCTGCTTTAGTTTCCCTCCACCACAGGGACAGAAAAAAGCAGCCATGACCCTCCCAGCAGCACCCATGGGTACTCCAGCTACTCCAAAACAGCTGTGCCTCCCTTCCCCCACAGCAGCATCCGTGGGTGTACTGACTCCCGTGGAACACCTGTTTCCCCCACCCAGCAGCACCCATTGGTGTTCCAACCCCCCAGGGTATCCAGGAACCCCTCCCCCAGCAGCACCCATGGGTCCTCCAAATCCCCCAGCGTATGCATGAAATTCCCCCAGCAGCACCATGGGTGCTTCAGTCCCCCCCACCCCCCCGGGACACGTGTGACGTCCCTGCTGGGGGGTGGGAGCGGGGGCACAGGAGGAAAGTTTCAGTCTGACTCAGCCATCCCAAGCCAAACCCGTCTGAGTCAAATCCTGTCCACAGCACCCCCCCACTACACTTGGGGTGCCTCCCGAAACGCAGGGGAAGCCTCCATTCCTCCACCCCTTCATTTCCCCAAAGGTTTTTCCAGGCAGCTCGTGTCCCTAGTGTGTCCCCATGCACCGAAGTGCTCCATTCTCTGCCTGGGAAGGAGGGACACGTCTATCAGAGCACTCATGCGCGACAGGGGCACCCCAAAACCTCCCTCACCCCCAAACCCCCTTCTCACCCGAGTGCAGCATGATTCCGCTGTCCATGTCGCTCGCCTCCCCCATGCCGCGCCGAGAGCCTGCGGGCAACAGCGGGGACACAGTTCGTCCCCACGCCCCCAGCCGGGCTGCACTCATGGGTGCCTCCCACCCTGCACCCCTAAAATCTCTCACTGTCACCCCGGGCGTGCCGCGATGGCGGTGGAGGGGAGGCGAGGCTATGTTTGCTTTGCCTTCTTGTAGGTCCTACCATAAATAAAGGGTGCGGACTGCGCGAAGCGGGGGAGGGTGACACCCTCGAAGGGGTCAAAGGTGGTCAGGGTGCGGTGGGGGGGAGGGCCGAGGGGCCCCTCGCTCCCGCCCCAGCTGGTTTCGCTGGGCACCTCTCCCAGTTTTCCTTTCTTTTCCATCTGGGCTGGTGGCAGATCCTGGGGTGGGGCGACCGCCGGCCTCGGAAAAGGGGGTCCCCAGCACCCCAAGACTCCCAAACTCTTGGAGAGGGAGTGAAAGGGGCGCAGTGGGACGGGGGAGAGGGGGTTCACACCGCTTTTCCAGCGCCGTCGCCTGGCCATGCCTCAGTTTCCCCAGACCGCTCCGCGTCGCACTGGGCGGCCAGAGGCAGGACGGAGGCCCCGGGGATCCCGGCGGGGTGGGAGAATCCCTTACCTGAGCCCGCCGCCGCTGCCGGCTCTGCTGCGCCGGGGCACGGACGGGTCTGGGCTTGAGCGGAGGGAGGAGCAGGGTGAGCAACACCTGCCCCAGTCCCCGCCCCGCTGGACGGCCCTGCAGCGGCTGCACCGCACGGCGCTGCGTGGGACGGAATGGCACTGTGCGGCATGGCACAGCTGTGGCACGGCATGGTACAGTACAGATGTGTCACAGCATGGCCTGGCACACCACAGCAGGGGGTGCTGCAGTTCGCTGTGGTGTGGCACCGCAGCCCAGCACAGCCTAGCACGGTGCTTGCAGGAGGCTCCATCCCTAGTGCCATGTAGGCATAGGCCAAGCACAAGAACCACTGTCCCCGTCCTGGCACTGGCTGTGCACAGCAGTACAGTGCCAGGATGGTGCCACCAATGTCCCAGGATGGTGCCAAGGCTCTCCCAGGCCATAAGACGATGTTGCCGCAGTGACTGTGGCCCCTCTGAGCTGGATTGGAGTGAGTTGGGCACGTCCTGCATTGCTACACCTGGCAGGGTGGGGAAGCATCCTCATGGGACGGGGCTAGACAGGATGGGGTGAGAAGGCAGGGTGCAGACAGGGAGATTCAGGGGGTGGGCAAGATACAGTCAGGGGATGCAGGGAGCAGGAACGGAGCAGGCAAGGAGTGCAGAGAGCAGTCTAGGGTGCAGATTCCGCAGAACAATGGTCTGTTCCCTGCCTTGGTGCCCAGGGTGGTGCTGTCAGCCTGGTGCTGTTGGTATGAGACCTATTCAAACCAGTGTCTCTTCCTCCCTCCCAGTGCCTCCCAGCTGCAGGTGGAAAGGGCAGAGGTGAAACACATTTAACTGTGGAAATGGAAAAAAAACACTAGGAGAAGACACAGAAGAAAGGAGAAGGAGTCTGAAGGAGTAAGGAAAGCTCAGTGTCACCAGGGGATGGCTGAAGGCCTTGGATGGACACCAACTGCAGTTGGGCTACTGGCACCACTGGTAAAATGAGCCAGTGGCCACCATGATCACCCTCCATCCCCACAATGCACCACTAGCCCAAGGCAATGCCACCCCTTCCCAGTCTCTGTCTCATTTCCATCAAGAAAACCAGATAAAAGACTTTATTTGGTTGTTTTCTGGTTCATGGAGTCAGGGCAGGTACAGGTCTGAGGGAGAGTGTTGCCTGCATCCCCCATATCACCCCTGGCACTGCCCTGGTGTTACCACCTCCTTCCTACCCTGGCATCCTGGTTGTCACCAGCATGGGGACACCAAGGCTCCAGTACTCACCCCCAACCACAAGCTCACTCAGAATGACAGTGCCGCGTGCTGTTCCCAGTGCCAGGATGTGCTGGGGACAGGGGCAGCCCAGTGTGTGCCAGGGGGCTCAGGGAGCTCTGCTGGGCTGTCTTTGGCTTACATGTGCCAGGCACCTGCCTCTGCCAGCTTCATGTTCTGCAGGCTGTCCCATACCTGCAGGAACTTGGGATGAGGGTCCAGCTCTGGCCCAGCCAGCTCTCGCTCAGGCTGCAGGAGGGGCAGCCATGAGGCCTGGTTGGGATTCCCTCAGCCCCCCCCATGACCTGATTGTCTCCTGACACAGGTGTTCCCTCAGCTGTTACCATGACCTGGTCACTGATGGTCATCCCTTGACCCGTGTCCACCCTGTTCAGCTTCCTTCGGCCACTCCTCAAGTTCCCTGAACATTACTCAGCTGAACTGCTCCAACAGCCCGATCAGCACTTGGCTGTCCCTAGGGAAGGAAGTGGATACATGGCTGGATGGACATGTGGATGGATGGATGGATGGATGGATGGATGGATGGATGGATGGATGGATGGATGGATGGATGGATGGAAGGAAGTTGGATGGAGGGATGGATTCATGGGTACATGGATGGATGATGGATGGATTCATGCACATATGTATGGATACATGGGTGGATGAATGGATGGAAGACAGCGAGGTGAAGGCAGGAGAACTGGCCTGGATACAGGGATGGAGGCTGGGACAGACAGACAAGGACAAATGGACATCACAGACCTCCTCAAGTCTGTGGTGGCGCTTCCTCAGCTGCTGCTCCAGGTCAGATGGGGGTCCCTGCAGCTCCTCCCACAGGGGACTCAGCCACCAGCTCTCCAGCATCTTCTGGAGCTTGGCCCTGTGCCAGGGCAAGATCCCCCTGTAGTGATGGACAGGCTTCAACCAGCCACCACACCCAGACACGCAGCTGGAGACAGGCCCATTCCCATGCCCACCTGCTGTGGCTGAAGAGTAGCTCCTAGTGCAGGTCCTGGTGGCTACGAGACTCCTGTATCAGGTTTGGCACCTTCTTAGGCTGAATAATGCTCCTGTGGCCATCAGGGGCCATGTCCAAGGTGAGAACATCACTCCTGTCATCTTCTTGAGATGTAGGGGATCAGCAGGGGATGGGAGCACCAGGGTATGAGTCACCAGAAGCATGGAGTCACCAGTGGGAAAGGGTCATCGGGGATGGGGTCACCACAATGAGTGGCACAACCTGGGACAGAGTCACCAGGGAATGGGGAGGAGGCACATGCCAGTACAGGGTGAGATCCTGGACACCAGCCCCTGTGTCCCACAGCCTCTGTGGTCTTGTGGCGACACAGCCTGGAGTCCTCATATGCTGCTCCCAGCACCCTCAGGGTCCCTGTTTGCAAGTGTCCCTGTCCCAGGCCACCCTGTGGTCTCAGCCACCCCATATCTTCCCATCACTTCTTAGGGTTCTCATAATCCCTGGAGTATGCACCACCCATCAGGTGCCCATCACCTCTCAGGTCCCCACTGTCCCCTGGGGTTCTCATTGTCCCTGAGGTCCCCATCCCCCCTGGGGTGTTCACTATCCCTCAAGGTCCTCATTACTTCTTGGGGTCCCTGTCACCTTCAGGGTCCCTATTGTTCCTGGGATCTCCCTCACTCCAAGGTCCCCATCACCCCTGGTGTCCTGTTGTCCCTGTGTCCCCTTCACCCTTGGAGTTCCCCACACCACTGGGGTCCCCGTCAGTCCAGGTGTCACCAGTGTACTTGTTTGTCCTCATAATCTTCAAGTCCTCAATGTCCCTGGGATCCCCATCACCCCTGGGGTGTTAATGATCCCTCAGGGTCCTCATTACTCCTTGAAGTCTCTATTGCCTTCAATATCCCCATTGTCCCTGTGTTCCCCGTTGCTCCTGAGGACCCCAGGTTCCCGTCACTCTTGGGATTCCACCACCCCCTAGTCCCCATAACATCCAGGTTCCCATTGTCCCTGTGTCTCCACTACGCCTGGCATCCCCGTTGTCCTTGGGGTACCCATCACGCCCCATCCCCATTCTCCTGGGTCCCACAGCCCCATGCCCTAGTGCCAGCACCCGCCCAGCACTGTGCTGCTCCTCGAGGCTTTGTTGTCACCTGGCAAAGCTGTCACTAGTGGAGACCCCGATGTCCCTCCTGCTGGGAGCTGTGGCTGGCCATGGTGGCTGGGCGCAAGGGAGAAGGGGGAGAATGGATATTCTCCACGTTAGCTCTGGAACCTAAGGAGGGAGAGGGGTCCTGGGGCTGAACACCAGAGGACAGGCACTGGAGTCTGCTGGGAGCACAGGGAACACTGGGAGCACCAGACTCACTTGGGGAGCACTAGGTTGACTGAGGGCACTGTGATCACTGGGAACATTGGGAGCACCGGGTGCAGTAGGAGCACAGGGTTTGCTGGGAGCACTGGCACTGCTGAGGGCACTGGGGGCACTGGGAACACTGGAAGACTTAGGTTTGCTGGGGGCCCTGGGAATACTGGGAGCACTCGGGGCTGCTGGGGGCACCAGGACCACTGTGGGGACATTGGGGCCACTGGAGGCACTGGGAACACTGGGGGTTGTGGGAACACTGGGACAACTTGGGGCAGTGGGGTCTGTTGGGGGCACTGGAAACACAGGGACCACTGAGAACCCTGGGGGTTGCTGTGAGCTCTGGGGTGCTTGATGAGGAGCACCAGTGTGAACACAATGATGTTGGGTGCACTGGGACCACTGGATTATGTGGGTTACTGTGGGAGCTGAGGGTTACTGGAGAAACTGGGCTGGGGACTGGATGCACTGGGTGTTATAGGAGATAGAAGGAGTTACTGGGTCCACCGGGGGTCACTTGGGAGACTTATGGGGGATACTGGGATGGGGATTGGGTGGCACATGATGTTACTGGGAACGACTGGGATACTGGAGGCACTGGGGTTTACTGAGGGACCTGGGGTTACTGGGGAGGACTGGCAATTACTGGAAGAGCTGGGATGGGGACTGGGTGCTTGGAGAGGGGGCCTTAGGGCTAGACTGGGAGTTACAGGGGAACCTGGGGGTCAGATTGTACTGGGGGGTTACTGGGATGACTGGAACTCACTGAGGACTGGAATGGAGACTGGTTACACTTGGGTGGTACTGGGATACTGGGAGGACTGAGGGTTGCTGGGGGTGCTGGTGGGTTACTGGGTCGCTGCGATGGGGACTGGTTGCACTGGGGAGTACTGGGAGGACTGGGGCTTGCTGGGGGCTGGGATGAGCACTGGGGGCTGGAGGGTTATGGGGAGATTGCAAGTTGCTGGGAAATCCGGGGCTCACTGGGGTGTGGTTGCATTGGGGGGTTACGGGGAGGACTGAATGGGGACTGGGTGCACTGTGGGATACTGGGGATACTGAGGGGTCACTGGGGGACTGAGATGGGGACTGGTCACACACGGCTGAGCGCGCAGGCAGCTGCTGCAGAGGCCAGGCGCTATCAGCGCTCGGGTTTACTGGTGCTGCGGGCGGGGACCGGGCCATACCGGGGCTGCGGGCGGGGACCGGACCATACTGGTGCTGCGGGCGGGGACCGGGCCATACCGGGGCTGCGGGCGGGGACCGGACCATACTGGTGCTGCTGGAGGGGACTGGGCCATACTGGGGCTGCTGGAGGGGACTGGGCCATACCGGGGCTGCACACGCACCTCCCTTCATAGGCGCTCGATTGAGGCCGCCTGCTCCTCAGGATCCGCGTCGGGCGGGTCGGCGCTCGGCTGGCCGCGCCTGTCGCCCGCTTCCGCTGTCGCGTTGGCGCCGCGGGGCCCGGGGGTGCGGGGCCGCCATGACCAACGGTGGGGACGGGGGGGCCTGGGGTCAGGGGTACCGAGGGGGCCTGGGGAGAACCGGGGGCCCGCATAACCAATGCTGGGAACCGGGGAACGAGGGGTTGTGGGCGGACGGGAGGGTCCTGGGGCGACCATGACTGGTGGTGGGAACTGGGGAATGGAGGGGCCGGAGATTCCGGGCGGGCCCGGGGCCTCAGGGACCATGGGGGGAAGGGGTTCCGGGGGATTTTCGGGGCTCCGACGGCGGGGGGCCTGATGGGGCACCATGGGGAGAGCACTCAGGTGCCGGCAGGCGGCGGGGGAGGTGGGGTTGATGTGGGGGAGGTACTAAGAGCTTTTGGGAGGTGACTGGGAGCCTGTGTCCCTTTGGGAGCGGGGTGCTGGCAGTGCCGAGTGCCGTCGGTGGATACTGGATGGTCTGTGTCCCTTTTCGGGGGGATCCCGGGAAGTCTGCGTCCCCTCACAAGGGCAGAGATGGGAAGTTGTTCACACGGAGTGTGGGAGTCTCCTTGGAGGGGGGTTGGGCAGGGTCCCGGGGTGCCCCCTGACCCCTCCCCGGCCTCCCTCCCCGCAGTTTACTCCCTGGACGGGCTCCTGGTGTTCGGGCTGCTGCTGGTTTGCACTTGTGCGTACCTGCGGAAGGTGCCCCGGCTGCGCACCTGGCTCCTGTCCGAGCGCAGGGGCGTCTGGGGAGTCTGCCACAAGGGTGAGGGGCACTGGGGACACTGGGGAATGGCGCGGGGATGCTGGGAACGCCGGGATGGGAGCACTTGGGACACTGGGGTGCAGGATGGGGATACTGGGAACACCGGGATGGGAGCACTTGGGACACTGGGGTATAGGATGGGAATGCTGGGAACACTGGGATGGGAGCACTTGGGACACTGGGGTGCAGGATGGGGATGCTGGGAACACCGGGATGGGAGCACTTGGGACACTGGGGTATAGGATGGGAATGCTGGGAACACTGGGATGGGAGCACTTGGGACACTGGGGTGCAGGATGGGGATGCTGGGAACACTGGGATGGGGACACTTGGGACACTGGGGTACAGGATGGGAATGCTGGGAACACTGGGATGGGGACACTTGGGACACTGGGGTACAGGATGGGAATGCTGGGAACACTGGGGTCGGATCTAGGACAGAAGCATTGAGTCCAGGATGGGGACACAGAGATGTGGGATGAGGATTTTGGGGTCTGGGATAGGAACACAGGGGCTGGGAATGGGAACAGTGGAGTTTGGGATGGGAACATGGCGTCTGGGATGGGCTCACAGGGATTCAGGATGGATCTGGGATGGGGACATGGGGCCTCACCCCATCCTGTCCCACCTGCAGCTGCTGTGATTGGGACCCGCCTGCACGTGGCTGTGTCCATGTCCTGTCTTCTCATGGCCTTCTACGTCCTTGTGGGAAAGTGACCACATGGGGACCTGGTGGTAACCTGAGAGAGACCTGGGACTGACCAGAGATCCTGTGACTGATTCCAAAGACCCTAGTATGGACCAGAGACCCTGATACTGACCCCAGTGTCCCAGTACCAGCCAGAGACCCCATTGCTGACCCTGGAGACCCTGGTACTGATCCTGGAGACCCTGGTACTGACCCTGAACCACCCCCGGTCCTGCTCTTGGCAGCAACCTGGATCCTGCGTGTGGTGACCCAGGGACCATCATGGCCCATCACCCTCCTTGAGCCCACCAAGCGCAACTGTGAGGGTCAACAGGGCACCTTTAGACTGTTGGAAAAGGATTTTCTGTGAATTCTGTAGAGAAGTGGGTGAAGGGATCTCCAGGAGTGGGAGACCAGCTCTGCCCTGTAAGCCCCTTCTTTTGATGCTGAGTGGGGTCCTAGTGAGATCATGGCAGGCTCTGGGGGCCGGACAGGATCCCCCCTGATCCATGGGGTCTTCCTGTGCCCCTACAGCATGGAGGGCCCTCAGGGGGGTCTCCTTCTGCAGTGGGGCTTGATGACCCCTCCCGGTTGTAAATACTGGACTACCATGTGCAAATAAAGTGGGGGTTCCTCTGTGACACTGCTGGCCTGGGGGTCCTGTGGGGCTGGTGCCCTTCTTGGGGGTCCTGTAGTGTGGGCTGAAGGTCCGTTGGGTGTGTGTGAGGAGGTCCTTGGAGGCTGCCTGCCATGGGGTGGAGGGCTCCCATAGTTATGGGGTCCTGGGCTGGGGAGGATTTGTACAGGGGGGAGGCGGTGCTGTGGGGTGGGGAATTGCTGACTGGAGCCTCCTGGCCCGGTTCGTCGGGCTCTCTGGGGCCGGGAGCAATGCAGCCCGTCAGCGAGGGGCACGGAGGGCCGCGCCCGCGAGCCCCGCCGAGCCGTGCCGTGCCGGCCGAGCCCCGCCGAGCCGTGCCGTGCCGAGCCGGCCGAGCGCCGCCAGGCGCGGTGCACGACGGTCCTCCGGCCGCCAGGGGGCGCCAGAACGCCGCGCCACCATCCCGTCGTGCTCCGCGCGGCTGTGGTATATAAAGGGCCGGAACGGAAGGTGCTGTGGCTGTGTGAGCGCCCGCGCGCCTGGTTGTGTGTGGGAGCATGTGTGCGTGCGCTTCTGTGTGCGCGCGTGTGAGCCAGGGGTGTCCGTGTGTGTGTGTGTGTGTGTGTGTGTGTGTCTGTGTCTGTGTCTGTGTCTGTGTCTGTGTCTGTGTCTGTGTCTGTGTCTGTGTGTGAGGCGCCAGCCACGCTCTCCTCCCTACACGTTGATCTTATTCGATCGGCCGGGCCCCGCCGGGCCGAGGTGAGAAGAAAGCGCCGCGAAGCCCTCGGGCGCTGTGCGGCTGGGCCGGGGGGGATGAGTCGATCAGATAGGCGAGGCCACGGCCGCTGAGCGCCCTGCGATTCTGACCCGCGCCCACGTCTGCAGCCCAGGGGCCGACAGCGACCCGGTCCCGACAGCGACGGAAGACGAAACGCTCCAGCTTCATCCCGGCCCCTCCAGCGCCGGGGCGCGTGTGGAGGCGGGGAGTGGGCCTTGCAGCAGGCTCCGTACGCGCTTTGCACGGGTCTGTGCTGGCCTTGCGGGGCCGTGCACGCTCCGTGCCGTGCTGGGAGTGGTTCAGCGGGCCCTGCAGCTGTGTGGGGCACCAAGGCTGTACACGGAACTGTGTTGGCACCGTGCCACGTGTGAGATGGGCGCGGACCCTGCCAGCCCCGCGGGACGCCGGGGACTCTCATTAGATCTACGGGCTTCATGCAACACGGCGTCTGTGTTTTACTGGGGGGGTGTGGTGATGGTGATAGCCGTGGTGGTGACAAGGGGATGGCCACGAGGGGGCAGCTATGGTGAACACTGGGGGATGGCCATGGTGCTGACAGAGCTGTGATGGTAACCAGGGGACAGCCACGGTGGAAAAGTACAGTTGTGCTGGTCAGGAGAGGATGGCTGCAGTGGTAACAGGAGGACAGCTGTGGTGATAGCAAGAGGATGGCCGTGGTTGTGACAAGGGACAGTAAGGGTGGACGACCGAGGGGTAGCTACAGTGGTGACTGGAGGATGGGCATGAGAGGACAGCCACAGAGGTGAAAAGGGGATGGCTGTGGTGGTGACAAGGCTGTGGTGATGATGAGGGGACAGCAGTGATTCTGGCATTACTGGGAGAAGCATCTGGGGTGGCTGCTCATGGTGGCACTGCTGTGGGACACTGAGAGGAGGTCACCAACTTGATGGTGCCTGGCAGGCTTCCTCTGCCAAGGTGACACTGTGGATGCTGTGGGGCATGGCCACCCCATGCCACTGTAATAGCTGTGGCACAAGTAGGTGTGGGGTTGTCCTCATGCTGCCGTAGGGACAGGCATGATCCCTTCCTGTGGCCATGTCCCCCATGCCCGTGGTACTTGCTGGCATCCCTGTGCCACCACAGAGGGACATGTGTCACTAGTGTCCCCCAACCCAGGGCACCCTGTGCCACCAGAGTTGGGACTTCTGCATCGCCTTAGCAGCTTTGTCCCTCATGTCCTCTTGTGACTGTGGCCTCCGTAGGCCCATGTTCCCCATCTTCCTGTTTCACCATATTAGCTGTGTCCTCCGTGTCCCTCGTGTTCCCATGTTGTCTGTATCCTTCATGTCCCCCTACGTCCCCCATCTCCCTGTGTTCCCATATCAGCTGTGTACCCAGTGTCCCTCTGTAGCCCCTTTCCTATGTGTCTCCTATGTCCCTCATGTTCAGATATCCTCTGTCCCTCTGTGTCCCCCATTCTCCCATATGCCCGGTATTTGCCTTGTCCTGTGTCCCTGTATCAGCTGTGTACCCAGTGTCCTTGATATTTCTGTGTCCCCCGTGTTCCTATATCCCCTGTACTCTGTGTCTCTCGTGTCCTGCATGTCTGGAATATGCAGCCACATGTGTCCTCTGTCCTGTCCCCAGTGCAGTGGGGCTGGCCCGGCTCCATGAGGACATAGCCTGGGGGGCACACGAGTAGCACACAGTCTCTGATTGGGTGGAGGCGGCTCCGGGGTGCGGGGGGCTCATGACCCCCCTCGCCGTGTCCCGGTCCTCCCCCAGCACCGGGGAGGGGCTGTGCCCGGGGGCGGGGAGGCGGGGCCCCGAGACGGTCCCCGTGCTGTTCCTGGAATAACATTCCCAAATGCATTCCCAGGGGTAAGTTCCCGATGCCGTTCCCGAGAACACGTTCCGGGTATTGCATTCCCAGTCCCGTTTCCGGGGATACACTCCCAAGGATGATGGGACTCCCGGTGCCGATGCCCGGCGCCAATCTCAGGATGCCATTCCCGGGTATAACCTTGGGCTGCTGTTCCTGGGAGTTCCATTCCCGTGTCTCTGTTTCCGATACCGATGCGCGGTGCCATTCCCATGAATAACATTCTCGATACCCGTTCCCGGTGCTGTTCTCGTGGAGGCGGTGCCAGCTGCCGTTCCAGGTGGTTCTATTCGTGATCGACTTCCCGTTCCCTGGGGCGATACCCGGTGCCATTCCCACCGCTGCCGGTGCCCGTTCTCGGAGTGATGCCCGGCGCCGTTCCCGGGGGCGGGGGCAGGTAGCGGCAGGTGCGCGGAGGCCGGGCCGTTGGCGGGGGCGGGGCAGCGGCGCCGGTGCTCGCACCGGCCGAGCTGCCGCCGTTGCCACCGCCGTTGCCGCCGCCATGGCCGGTACCGGAGCCCGGTGGATGCCGCTGGTGCTGTGTCTGGCTGTCACCGTGTCACCGGGACGCACCGGAGAGCAGCTACATGTCTGCAAGGAGGTACCGGCGCCGGGAATGGCGGGGAGGGGGGGGGCAACGGTATCGCACCGCCAGCACCGCAACCACCCCCAAATTCCCCCCACACACCGATGAAACGGAGTCCCTGAGCACGAGGAGGCCGCTCCCTATGAGATGGGGGGACGAGGAGGGGACAGGTAGGGGTCGGGTGTCCCGGTGGCTCTGTAGGTGGGGTGTCTCCTATAGCAGGGAGGGACTGGCCGACTTCCTGGGGGCCCAGGGAGAGGTCTTTGCTCCCAGTGGCTCGGCCAGTGCCCGAGGGTCTCCTTGGGGACCCCAACTGGTGTCACCCCATTATCGTCCCTAAGTCCCTACCCTCAGACACGTTGGGGTCTCCCTGAGTGCTGCTGAGGGGGTGACAAGGAGTGGGGGGACAATCCCAATGGCCACGTGTCGTTCCCAGCACAGCACATGGTATTCTGTGAAGAAAAACTGTCACTCGCCAGGATCTGTCTGCCTTGGGGACAGCGGATGAGCCCCCAAATGCTCTCCCTGGGTTGTCCATCTTGCCCCCCCCCAATTTTCCTTGCCTCTCCTCAGACTTGCGGCTGCTTTTAATCTGGGCCAGGATTTTTTTTTTCCTCTGATCCAATTATTTTTGTCTGTGTTCCATGATCCAGAGCTGGAAACAATAGACTGGGGCTGGCACCTGCCCCAGGAACAATCAGTCCCCCAGAGGGGGTGTCCCCTGTCCTTCACAAGGCACAGCCCTTCTCCTTCTCCTGGCCAGAGCAGAGTTACAGTGGCAGTTTGGGGTGCCCTCCACCCCCAGAGCCACTCGAGCTGAATTAGGTCAATTTATGTAGATTTAATAAAAACCTGGAAGAATTTAAGAAGAGAGAAAAAAAGACCTTCTCCCCAAGGAAATCCCTCAGGACTGAGAGTAATAGGGTAGTTCGGGGCTGCTGAAAGTTGGGGTGACCCTCTGGGTACCCCCAAGGTGGTGAGGACCTTTCTCTGTGTCCCCATCCCAGGACCTGAGGGGTTCCATGCTGCCTGTACGTGGGCAGGGGCTGCTGAAGGCATCTCTCTGTCCTCACTTTTCCTTCTCCACCCCCCTTTTACCCCTCCAATCCCTCTTTCCCCTTCACATCCTCCCATCCCCCTCTTCTTCCCCCCCCTTCCTCCCACTCACCTCCCGTTGCTGTGTTTCCAGCTGATGGGAACATCAAAGCGGTTGTTTTCTCATCAACCTGCCACGCTCCAGCAGCCACTGGGAGCACGAAGCCACAGCACCGGCTCTGACACCTCAGAGCTGTTGCAGGGAGGGTGGGGAGCTCCCCTGGTACCCCAAACCCCAACACCACCAGCAGATGTGGCCTTCATGCTGCCCACGCCGTCTGTCCCTGGCATCACCTCACCAGCCTTAAGCCAGTCTCAGCTTGGTGCAGCTGGCAGGATGGTGATGGGGGGGCTGGGGGGCTGACCATGGTGCCTCTGCCGTCCCCAGCGCTTCCTGGTTCCCCCTGGTCCCCCTTGCATTCCCGCCCTATGCCCGGGGTGCTCCCAGGCCGTATCTGGGTTGTGCCACAGCTGTTCGATGAGCAAAGTGTGTCACAGCCGCGCCAAGGCACACCAAGGGGCGTGACAGTGCCATGTGATCCCAGGAACACGGTGGGGGAGTGCAGGGATTCACCCCCACACCAGGGAGAGGTGCAGGGCTGCTGCTGCTCCAGGGCTCCTGGGCAACCCCAGCCGAATCATCCCCCCATCCACAGCACCCCCATTTCCCAGCATCCTCTCATACTGCCCCCCCACCCCTTGCCACCACCACAATACTCCCCCACTCTGAGCATCCCCCTGGACCCCAGCTCCCCTCAGTCCAGAGCATCTCCCACCCAGATCACCCCCATTTTCCAGTATCCCCCCCCACTGAACTCTGAGCACCCTCCCAAGCCCCCCTCACCAGGCCCTGGGCACCACAGGACATTGCCACACCTTAACTCAAAACCATCCCTTGAAGGCACTGCTGGGCCCAGGGGCCAGCCCCTTTCAGAGGGCACAGGGTGTGGAGGCAGCCCGGGAGGTCTCAGGTGCAGCTCCCGTGCGTGTTCCCTCTCTGTCTCCTGCAGTCCGAGTACCACTATGAGTACACAGCATGTGACAGCTCAGGATCACGCTGGAGGGTGGCTGTACCACACACGCCTGGACTCTGCACCGGCCTGCCTGACCCTGTCAGGGGCACTGAATGCTGTAAGACTCCGACCAGGAATGGGATGGGGTCAGGCTGGGGGGTGGTAATGGCAGGAATGGGAAATGAGGGCGGCAGGAGGGAGAGAGTGGGGAGACAAGCACCAGTGCAGGCAGCAACAGGAGGATGGAATGGGATCAGTGGGATGGGAATCCCCCGGGATGGGATGGTATAAGAACTACAAGCACTGGGATGGGATGGAATAGGAATCACACACACACCAATTCCCAGGGATGGGATGAGAGGGATGGGAACCAGAAACAGGCATTGGGGTGGGATAAGACAGATGGGAATCACATGCACACACAGATAGGGTGGGATGGTAATCACCCATACAGTCATGGAATGGGATAGAGAGGGATGGGAATCACACACACTGGGATGGAAATCCCCCCATCCCACACATGCACCAGGACAGGATGAGCAAGATGAGCACTCACTCACCTGGATGGGATGAGAGAGATGGAAATCCTGCACACAAAATGGGATAGGACGGGATGGGAATCCCACACATGGGCACTAGGATGGGATTAGAGGGATGAAAATCACACACACATGCATGAGGATGGGATGGGAATCACACACAGAGTCAGCAAATGGAATGAGAGTCGTGGCAATCCCACCACACGTACGTGGATGGAAATCTCCCTATTGCACACGTGCACCAGGATAGGATGAGCAAAATGAGAATCCCCCTCACAAAAACTCACTTACTAGGATGGGATGAGCAGGATGGGAATCCCAAACACATGCCCCCAAAGCCTGGGGATACCCTGGCTCCATGGCAGAGGGTTACATTCTGCCTGGATTGGGCAGAGCTGGGCGTTGGGTACCAAACTCATGGGTGGAGGGGTTGCCTTTGTGGAATGGTAAGAATGGGGGATCCCAGCACCTCCACCAGCTGGAGCACTTGGAAATGAAGAGCAGAGGGTGATGAGGCTGTAGCAGCACCAGGAGGATTGGGGGTGACCCTCCATGCCCTGTGCCCCCGTCTCCATTGGCAGCATTCTCCTGCAAGGCGGGTGAGTTCCTGGAGATGCAGACACAGACGTGCCGGCCCTGCGCTGCGGGCACCTACTCGCTGGGCACTGGTGTCCGCTTTGATGAGTGGGACGAGGTGCCCCATGGCTTCGCCAACGTGGCCACCAACCTGGAGGTGGATGACAGCTTTGGCGATGCGGCAGAGAACTGCACAGCGTGAGTCACTGTGTCACGGGCTGTGATGCCAGCACATGAGCACCTGGCATGTCAGGACGGGATGCGGGGCACAGCGAACAGGATGGGTGTGACACCCCTGTGCATCCATAGTGCCCAGTTGCCCCGACGCCCTTCGGTCATCCTGCCCTGGGAGGTGACACCAGCAGGGCATTACAGGGGCACCCTGATCACAGCAAGGGAACACACAGCCACCAGACCCTCTTACTTGTACCACAGCCATCAGGGCCCCTCATTTGTACCAGCAGCTGCTAAGCTCTCCCAGTTGTTCCACTGCCACTGAACTTCCCATCAGCTGGTTGTATCAGCAGCCACTGGTACACAGCAAATACAGACAGCCACCAACCCCTCCTGGTTGTACCAGCTGCCACAAACCCCCCTGGTTACACCAACAACCACCAAACTATCCCATATGTATTGGCAGGTTCTGAGTCCTCCTGATTATACCAACAACCAAGAAATCCTCCCAGTTGTACCAACAACCACCAAACCCTCAGTTTTACTGGCACCATCACACTGCTCCATTGATGTCCCTCTCAGCCATTCCCTACTCCCAGCAGCGTGCTCCTCATCCAGTCACATTCCCAGAACAGGCGGGCGCCACTCTCTTCTCCTTGCAGTCCACGTGGCTCTCAGCAGGCCAGGGGATTCTCACAAGGGATATGTGTCTAGCAACCACACCTTGCCATGTCCCTAAGATCTGCCCAAGCCCCTCTGCCCCTCATTTCTCCCCTGCTTCTTGGGGACCCTCCTGGCTGTCCCTACAATCCCTGTCCTGCCTGCTGAGAGTGATGACAGGATATATCACTTGCCCCAGGTCAACATGGGTGCCACTGGGGGATTACGTGGCCTCCAACACAGATGAGTGCACGGCTACCCTCATGTATGCTGTGAGCCTCAAGCAGTCGGGGACTGTCACCTTCGAGTACATCTACCCTGACAGCAGCATCGTCTTTGAATTCTTTGTGGGTGACCGGGGCACAGGTGGAGGGTATGGGTCTCTGGGGACATGGAGGGGTCCATTGGGATATGAGAGAGGGTCCCTAGGTACATGGGAGAAGTCCTTTGTGACCTGAGTGTGTCTGTGGGTACTCCTCAGGGGTCCCTGGGGCCATGATATTTGTCCCTAGGGACATGGAAGGAGTCCCTGAGAACATGATGTGCGTCCCTGGGGACATGGCAGGATCTCTGGTGGATGTGGCAGGGGCCTCTGGGACATAGGGAAGGGAACCCTGGATATATGGGAGGGGTCCCTGGGAACATCATGGGGGTCCTTCCAGACATGGAGGGATGCCTGGGGACATGAGAGTGGACCCTGGTGACATAAGGGGGGCCCCATGGGATATGGCAGTGGTTCATGGAGACATGAGGAGGGGTCCCTAGGAATATGGAGGGTCCCTGGGAGCATGGGGCTGTGTCCCTGGGGACATGTGGGGTCCCTGTGAACATGGGGTCCCTGACACTCTCCCTGCAGGTGCAGAACGACCAGTGCCAGCCCACGGTGGAGGAGTCCCGCTGGATGCGGACTACAGAGAAGGGTTGGGAATTCCACAGCGTGAGTGTTCGGTGGGAGGTGACACCGGGGGGAGGTCCTTCGGTGCTGCCCCGGCGTTTCTTGTCCCTCCTGTGGGACGAAGATGCTCCACGAGGCTGAGGAGGGGGTGGTGGGTGGTGACAGATGGGGGTGCCACACACCTCCCTCCACTGGTGCCAACCCCCTCCTTGGCAGTGGGATCCCCCACCCATGGTGCCAAACCCATCCCTGGCGGTGGGGTTACCCAATCCCGTGGGATCCTTCTCCCAGGTGGAGCTGAGCCGTGGGAACAACGTGCTGTACTGGCGGACCACCGCCTTCTCCGTCTGGTCCAAGGTGCCTAAACCGGTGCTGGTGAGGAACATCGGCATTACAGGTGGGTAGGGGCAGGAGGGGGGGTCTCAGGGTCACGCACCCACCTCCCTGCTACCTGAGCCTCCTCCCTCTCCCAGGGGTGGCCTTCACTTCCGAGTGCTTCCCCTGCAAGCCCGGCACCTTCGCCCCTGCCGCCGGCTCAACCGCCTGCCAGCCCTGTCCCGCTGACACCTTCTCCGGCAAAGGGGCCACCGCCTGCCAGCCCTGCGACCCTGACACCTACGCTGGTATGAGGGGACACCCAGGGCTCCCCCCTCCCATACACTGTCCCTCTAGTATATGACCCTGGGAAGGGGTGATGTGGGGAGCAGGGGTGACCTGACATCCCCTGGTGGCAGTGTTGGCACCCCTCACAAACCTCACACCTACGCTGGTGAGGGGGGCACCCTTAGGGGTCCCTTTGTCCCCGCAATCTGTGCTGCAGGAGTGGCCCTGGGGGAGGGAGAGATGATGTGGGGAGTAGGGAGCACCCACTACCCCTTGGTTGGGAGGGAAGACAAGGACACCCCGTGTGGTGGGAACAGCACTGGAGTCTTCGGGCTGTGCTGGCTCACCCATCGTGTCTCCTCTCGGCAGAGCCTGGCTCGGGGTCCTGCAAGCCACGTCCGCCCTGCACAGACAAGGATTTCTTCTACACCCACACGGCCTGCGACGCCAATGGGGAGGTAATGTGGGGGCACCCCGTGGTGGTCCCCCTGTCCCCCGGCGTTCCCCCCGGCTCACCCGCTCCCCCGACAGACCCAGCTGATGTACAAGTGGGCAGAGCCCAAGATCTGCAGTGAGGAGCTGCCGCAGGCGGCCCGGCTGCCATCCTCAGGGGTCAAGACTCGATGCCCCCCCTGCAACCCTGGCTTCGCCAAAGGCAACGGCAGCACCTGCCAGCCCTGTCCCTATGGCTTCTATTCCAATGGCTCTGGTAAGGTGGCCTGGTCATTGTCCCCAAAGCGTGACTGGGGCAGCCTGAGCTGCCAGGGGAAGGTGGGTGCCACTCCAGTGCTGGGTTGTCCCCTCCTGTTCCCATAGCTCCAATAAGGACACCTCCACCACTGTCCCCATGGAGTAACTGGGGTCTCTGGGGCTACTAGGAGGAGATGAGTGCCACCTCAGTGCAGGGTTGTCCCATCCTTTTCCCGTCATTGTTCCTAAGTGTGACCAAAGCACCCAAAGCTGACAGAGAGAAAGGCGGTACCATCCTGGTGCAGGGCTGTCCCTATGTATCCAGTAAGAACATCCCAGTTATTGTCTCTAGTAAGTAACTGGGATCCCTGAAGCTGCCAAGAGAAGGTGGGTACCACCTCAGTACAGAGCTGTCCTCTCCTGTCTCCATTACTGTCCCCAAGAGGTGGTTACCAGGTCATTCCAAGCTGCAGGGAGGGGAATGTGGGGGGACCACCCTAGTGCAGGGCTGTCCCCTCTTGTCCCCATCACTGGCCTCAAGAGGTAAGCAGGGCACTCCAAGCTGACAGAGAGGGAGGTGGGTGCCACCCCTGTGCAGGGCTGTTGCCTCCTCTCCCCAGCCTGCCTCAGATGCCCAGAGGGCACTGAGCCGGCGCTGGGCTTGGAGTACAAGTGGTGGAACGTGCTGCCCCCCAACATGGAGACCACCGTGCTCAGCGGCATCAACTTCGAGTACAAGGGCATTGCAGGTAGTGGCAGAGGGCTGTCCCTTCCCTGTCCCTTGCTGGGGCACTGCCAGGGATCTCTCTGAGTGTCATTGCATCCTTGCAGGCTGGGAGGTAGCTGGGGACTACATTTACACGGCAGCTGGAGCCTCTGACAGCGACTTCATGATCCTCACGCTGGTGGTCCCTGGCTTCAGGTGAGGTGGGGGCCACCACCAGGGAGCAGGGGGCACATGGCCATGAAGCAGAGCTAGCAGTGTCCCCATGCTGTCCCCAGCCCTCCAAGCCCAGTGCTGGAGGATACAGAGAGCAGGGAGGTGGCCAGGATCACCTTTGTTTTCGAGACGCTGTGCAGCGTTGGCTGTGAGCTCTACTTTATGGTGGTGAGTGGGGAGACACAGCAGTTCGGGGGGCACAGTGAATTTGGGTGGTGCCACCTCCCTCGTCCCCACAGGGTGTCAACTCACGCACCAACACTCCAGTGGAAACATGGACAGGTTCCACAGGGAAACAATCCTACACCTACCTGGTGGAGAAGAACGCGACCATGAGCTTCACCTGGGCCTTCCAGCGCACCCCCTACCATGAGGCGGTGAGGGACAGGGGGCTCTGCTTTGAGAGGGCTGGAGGGCCCCGACTTTGGGGGGTCTGGTGCGGGGCAGGGGGCAGATGGTGATGATGCTGTCATTGCCAGGGCCGGCGGTTCACCAGTGATGTGGCCAAGCTGTACAGCATCAACGTCACCAATGTGCAGGGGGGGGTGGCCTCCTTCTGCCGCCGCTGTGCCCCCCAGCCCACTGGGTCCTGTGCCCCATGTTCCCCTGGCAGTGCTGTGGACCCCAGCTCAGGCACCTGCCAGCCCTGCCCACCTGGCACCTACCTGCGGGGCCACCCCTCCGACGGGACACCCACCTGCCGCCCCTGTGGCCCTGGCACACGCAGCAACCAGGTGACTGGGCATGGCAGGAGGTCTAAGTGTTCCTAAGTGTCCCCATGGGTGATGCCAATGGGCCCCAGGGGAGTGACGCCAGCCTCTCCCACACCCAGGATGTCCCAGATGGTGGCACTGGCAAGCACCAGGAGGGTGACACCATCACGGGTGGGTGACACAAGCCTCCCCCAGTCATCCTGGGTGTATGACACTGTGTCCCCACGGAGGTGACACCAGCCCCTTACACGCATTCTGGGTGGATGACAGGATGGGTGACAGTGTCTGACCCAGTGTGGGTGATGCCTGCCCTCCTTGGCCATCTCCAGGGAGGTGACACCAGCCCTGTGGCAATCCTGGGTGGGTTACAAGGTGGGTGACAATGTCTAATCCTGGGTGGGTAATGCCAGTCCAATGCCAGTCCCCAGAGAGATGACACCAGCCCCTCCCAGCCATCCCACATGGGTGACAGTGGGTGACCCTGGTGGGTGTCACCATGGCCCTGAGATCTCTAAGGAGTGGTGCCAGCTCTCCAGAGTCCCCACAAGGGTGTCCCCAGAGGGTGGCATGGCCATCCCTGAGCTCCCTGTCCCTGTTCCCAGCTGCGATCACTATGCTACAACAACTGCAGCCTGGCACTGGCACTGCCAGGCCGGATGCTGCACTTCGAGTTCCCATCGTTGGGCCAAGGTGCTGGAGTGGGCACTGGGCCCAGCTTCACCCCCAAAGGGCTGCGCTACAGCCATCACTTCCGCCTTAGCCTCTGTGGGCACCAGGTGAGACCTGTGTGGGCAAACACATGTGCACACATGGGAACACACCCGGGGCATGGGCACAGGCACACAAGTGCAAACACGGGCACTTGGGTGGGCACTCAGGAGAATAGGCACACACAGGCAGGAGGCCACGTAAACATGCATGTAGACATGGGAACACACATGGGAAAGCACACAAGGGCACAGAAACATGCATGAATGTATGGGAACACACCTGGGCTCATGGGTGGGTGGTCATAGGTACACAAGTGCAAACACGAGCACAGGGTGGGGTGTGTGTGCACTCACAGGCACATGAGTACAAACACAGGTGGGCATGCAAATGGGTGGACACAAGCATGAGTGCAAACATGGGCACAGTGGGTGGGTACTCAGCAGGGTGGACACAGGAACACAGGTGGGCACACTGGGGCCCATACGGGCACGAGGGCTCAGGAATACCCACGCACACATGGGCATCTGGATGGGTGAACACAGGCACACGCCTGGGCACACAGGTTGGAGGGGCATGCAGGTGAGCAGACACAGACACACCTGCATTTGTGCTTGTAGTCATGCAAACACAAGGATGTGTATGCAAACAAACATTTCCACATGCAGGTGTGCAAATACAGGTGTACATGCTGTCACACCTGCATACATACACACACCCATTTGTGCAGTCACATGTGCACAGTCACACAAACACATCTGCACAGCTGTGCAGACACGTGAACACTCGTGTAAACACGTATGGACACTTGTGCAACCACACCTGCATACCTATGGCCCTACACACACACAAATGGCAGTCCCTTGTACACACAGTCTCACTCCACACACGTGCATCATGTATGTCCCCACAGGGCAGGAAGATGGCCTCATGTGCTGACAATGTGACGGCAGGTCGGGGGGGCCCTGCCCGTGTGGTCACCTCGTATGTGTGCCAGGCCATTCTGGTGCCCCCTGACATCACTGGTGCCCGTGCAGCTGTGTCTTCTCAGCCCGTCAGCCTGGGTGACCACTTGCTGGGTGAGCGGGGAGCGGGGGGGGGCACCCTGGGGAACTGGGACACCCCAAGGTCATTGAGACACATGGGCAGGACAGACACTAGAACATCTTGGTGGCACTGGCACACCAACACTGGGACTCCTCAGGGGGACTGGGACACGTGTGGGACAGGAACTGGGACACCCTCCTGGCACTGAGAGTGGGACACCTTGCTGAAACTAGGACACCCTGGCAGGACAGGGACCAGGACATCCCAGTAGCACTGGGACACATGGGTGGGACAGGGAATAGCCTACTCCAGTGGCACTGGGATGCCCCAGTGGGACTCAGACACCCTGGTGGGACTGGGACATCCCAGTGGCACTGGGAGTGAGATACCCTGGTGGGATTGGAACACTCTGCTGGGACTGGGACAATAGCACTAGGACATTTCAGCAGCACCTTCGTGGCACAGGGACACCCCAATGGGACTAAAATACACCCTGGTGGGACTGGGACATTACAGGGGCATCTTGTTTGGGATTAGGACATTGTCACTGGTATATGTCACTGACACCCCAGTGGGACTGGGACTCCTCAGTGGGACTGGGACACTCTGGTGGCACTAAGACACTGGGACTGGAATACCCTCCAGTGGGACTGGAGACACCCCTCTCTCCCTGCAGGTGTCACCACCAGCTCTGTGCTGGACAGCATCGTGGCTCCCCCAGAGCTCTTCTCCCCCAGCCACCCTGACCTGCCTGACATCATCTTCTTCTTCAGGTGCAGGCAGGTGACGGGGTTGACACCCACACTGTCTCCCCACTGTCCTCCTGACCCTCCATGTCCCCTGGCAGGTCCAACGACATGACACAGCCGTGCAGTGGTGGCCGGGCCACCACCATCCGCCTACGCTGTGACCCCCTGCGCATCGGCACTGGCACCCTGGCTGTCCCCAGGTGGGGAGGGGACATGGGGGACACCGAGGGAGGTTTTGGGTGACCCAGGTATCTCCCATTGTTAGGGTTGGGTGCATCCCTGGGGTGTTTAGCTTTGGAGACACCATAGTCACAATGTCAGTGTCCTGCACCCTGAGGTGTCACCCTGGCTGTTCCCAGGTGGGGGGGTGGTGATAGGAGAAAGGGCAATGCTTTTAAACAGTGAGAGAGTAGATTAGATTGCTTATAAGGAAGAAACATTTTATGGTGAGGGGTGGGGTGGGACACCGGGAACACCAAGGGGGGGCTTAAGGGACTCCCAAAGTGACCCAAACATCTCCTGCTGTCATGGGTGGGCATGTCCCTGAGGTGCTTTGCTTTGGGGACCACACTGACATGATGTCAGAGTCCCTCACCCTGAGGTGTCACCCTGGCTGTGTCACCGTGTCCCGCATGTACTCAGGTTGGCAGTGAAACAAAGGAGACTCCGAGGGAGGTTTGGGGACCTCAAAGATCCCCTGCTGTCATGGTTAGATACTTCTTTGGGGTGCTTCCCTTTGAGGGTACCACTGTTATGCTGTCCCGACCCTGGGGTGTCACCTTAGCTGTAATCCCCACTTTGGAGTGTCACCATCACCTGAGCACCGCCTTTTTGTCCCTCCGAAGCAAATGCCCCGAGGGCACCTGCGACGGCTGCACCTTCCATTTCCTGTGGGTGACGGCCGAGGGATGTCCCCGCTGTTCCAGCTCCCACCACCGCCCCATCGTCGGCGCCTGTATCGGTGGCGTTCAGGTACCGCCCCGTGCCCCGGGCTGGGCTGCGGCTCCTGCGGCCCCTGAACCCCCTTTCCCCCCCATCAGAAAACCACCTACGTGTGGCGGGAGCCCCGGCTGTGCCACGGCGGGGACGCCCTGCCGCCGCAGGTGATCCAGGCGTGCCGGAGCGTGGATTTTTGGCTAAAAGTGGGAATTTCCACTGGGACGTGCGTGGCCATCTTGCTGGCTGTGCTCGCCGCTTATTTCTGGAAAAAGACTCAAAAGTGAGCATTTGGCAGCGGGATTTGGGGACACGGGGGCTAGCACTGTCACGGGGCGGGTGATGCCACCACCTGCATTCCCAGGCTGGAATACAAATATTCCAAGCTGGTGATGGACGCGGCGGCTCGGGAGACCGACGCGACGTCGCCCGACAGCTGCGCCATCATGGAGGGAGAGGACGCGGAGGACGAGCTGCTCTTTCCCACCGAAATGTCACTTTTTGGAAAACTTAAAGCACTGACGGCCAAGGTGAGGGGTGGGGTGGGGGGATGGAAACAACCCTGGAGTAGCCACCGGACAAGCCATGGTGAGGGTGGGATTTGAGGATGGTCCGTGCCTCAATTCCCCACCCCGGAGGGGTCTCCGTGTCTCAGTTTCCCCGCTCCAAGGGGGCTCTGTGCCTCAGTTCCCCACCCCGGGGGCTCCGGGCCTCAGTTTCCCCACCCCACAGCGGATGCCGGATGGATTCGACTCGGTCCCGCTCAAGACCTCGTCCAGCAGCACCGATCGGGAGCTGTAAGAGAACGGGGGGCACCCTCGCATCCCCCAGCCCTCCCGGGAGCTGTGACGGGCCAGAGGGGCGCGCACGGACACTCCAGCCCCGGGCAGCAGAAGGGAAGGGGGGGTACCCACGGCCCATCCCGCGCCCCCCAACGTGGCCTTAGGGACCCGCTTCGCAGCGGAGCCTCGTTATGGCTTTTGTACGTGTGTCCCCACCGTGTCCTCCCCATCCCAAGCACCCAAAAATGCCAAATACAGGAGTGGGGTTTGTATAAGGGCTCCGTGTGTGTGGGCACACGGGGGCAGGGGTACACGCATAGGGGGTGCGGGGAGTTGAGCGTGGGCACCAAAAATGGCTGTGAGGAGGGTGTGGGGGTGTGCGCAGGGTGTCACACACGTGTGAGTGGGTGCCTAGGAGTGGGGTGGGGGAGCAGCGGAACTTTGACTTCCATCTGCACGCCCCCTCATGCACCATCCTCCAGATGGGTGGAGGCACAAGAACCCCGCCGGGACCCCCAAGGAGGCGACAGTGGGGTGACATGGGGTGACGTGGTGCCAGGGATGGCCACAGTTGTGCCATGGGGGGCGTGGGCGGCTCTTGGGAGCCCCATGAACAACTGGGGTGTGAGGTGTCCTCGGGTAGGAGATCCGCAGAGCCCACCAGTATCCCTGGGATGTGGCTGAGGAACCCCAGCAATCCTCGGGGTGCGAGGGCAGGACCGCGGAGACTCCTCTGGCAGGGGGGCTCAAGGACGCTCGGGCCCCTCCAGACCCCACCATATCATCCCCAGACCCTCTCATAACTTCCCGACACCCCCGTCCTCCGCCCTGCCTGGGTCCCCAGACGCGCTGGCAGCCCTTGGCGGGGCCGGGGGCGCAGGGGCCGCGCGGCGCCCCGACCCCCGAGCCCGCTGTCCCGTCCTGCTGCGCCGCCGCCGGGCCGCCAA